CGGAGGAAACCCACGGCAACACGGGGAGAACATGCAAACTCCACACAGAAACACCTAAATGAGTGGTTTAATAATAATAATAATAATAATAATGTTTCATTTTTAAAAATAGATTTAATTACAAGTTAATATTAAGTCACCTGTTGTGTTAATCTGTAATTGAAAAGACAGACCATGCGTAAAAAAACAGGTTGAGATGGTTTTGCCCATGTAAAATACATAATCATATGCAAATACATGCTAGACTTATAATTATAAATACTTTTACAGCACAAAGCATGGTGCAATAACACTCACAATAACATTGCACAGAATTTAACAGTACTACCATACTAGAATTAGCATTCTTTAAAATATCTATTTGCCTATATATTTGTCTGTCTGTCTATCCATCCATCCACCTATATATCTGGCTGTCTGCCTGCCTGTCTGTCTGTCTGTCTGTCTGTCTGTCTGTCTATCTATATATATATATATATTTTATTTTTGTCTAGATATACATTTATGTCTGTCTGTCTGTCTGTCTGTCTATCTATCTATCTATCTATCTATCTATCTATCTATCTATCTATCTATCTATCTATCTATCTATCTATCTATCTATCTATCTATCTATCTATCTATCTATCTATATATTTTATTTTATTTTTTTTTGTCTAGATATACATTTATGTCTGTCTGTCTCTCTATCTATTGGCAACCAAAGTTGAGGGTAAATGATTTGCCCTTATTCTTTTACAATATTTCCCAAATGATGTTGAACAGATTCAGGAAATACTCACAGCATATCTGGTAATATTTGTTCCTCTGGAGAAAGTCTTATTTGTTTTATTTGGGCTAGAATAAAAGCAGTTTTTATTGTTTTAAACACCACTTTAAGGTCAATATTATTCTCCCCTTCAGCAATATTAGTGTTGGATTGTCTCCAGAACAAACCACTGTTATACAATGACTTGCCTAATTACCCTAACTTTACCCTAATTACCCTAGTGAAGCCTTTACATGTCTCTTTAAGCTGAACACTAGTGTCTTGAAGAATATCTAGTCTAATATTATTTACTGTCATCATGGCAAAGAGAAAATAAATCAGTTATTAGAGATGAGTTATTAACAATATCATGATTAGAAATGTGTTCTTATTATCCGCTAAAAAAATGGGGGGGAAATGTAAAGAATAATAATTTACAGGTGTGTAATAATTCTGACTTCAGCTGTGTATATACACGTGTGTGTGTGTATATATATATATATATATATATATATATATATATATATATCGCGATATTTTACAATGAGCCAGAGTCTGTGTTTTTGCCTGTGTGTGAGTGTGTGTGTTCTTCTAGCGTTGTCGGAGTGTTTCTTTCGGCCCGGTTCCAGCACAAACACTCAGTCTAATTACGAATGTGGTGATTTCGAGCAATTAGCAGTAATTATGTCTGTTCAGAGCTGTGTGTGCGGCGTGTGATTGGCTGGAGTGTGTGGGCCGTCTACGGCAAGCACTGAGAGACAGAAAACATAATGATGCACTTTAGGAGAGATTCGAGAAAACAGAAGCACTGGGGTGAGAACTGACCTCCAACCAGCTGTGTGTGTGTGTGTTTGTGTGTGTGATGTGTTCTGAGTAAATATTTGTAGTTTAACACAATTTCAAATCTAAAAAACACTTATTGGTAACTTTAAACACACACACACGCAAACACTCATGCACAGACACACACACTCACATGCGCGCACACGCGCACACACACCCCCATGCACAGACACGTATTCATATACACACTTGTGTAAATTCAGACACAGACACACGCATGCACACAAGCAAACACACAAACATGCACACAGACACACATGCGAACACACACACACACACACACACTCATGCGCACACGCACACACACACACAACCCATGTAAATGCGCACGCGCGCGCACACACACACACACACATTCATATACACACTTGTGTAAATTCAGACACAGACAAACACACGCACACAGACACACAAGCAAACACACACACAATGTAAATGCACATACACGCAAAACACACACCCATGCACAGACACATACTACATATAAATAATACAACTAAGCTCTTGTTGAGAGGCGTGTGTGTGTGTGTGTGTGTGTGTGTGTGTGTGTGTGTGTGTGTATATATATATATATATATAATAAAACTGAGCTCTCGTTGATAAATCAACAAATATAGCAGAAGCACACATCCATAGTCTATAAGCACATGCTGCGTTTTCTGCTGTATATTTGGCCAAACATTTCAGACACTGTGTGACTGCTGCCATCTAGAGGCCAGATGTGCTCATCACAGCTTGATCCTGACCTAATAGTGCACTTCACACAGATTTTAGGGCGAGACTGAAAATGTGCAAACCAAGTACGCTTAGAAAGGGCATGGACAAAGACAGAAATGGAAATGCAGGTATACTCATTCATTCTCCTTCAGCTTAGTCCCTTATTTTTCAGGGGTCACCACAATGGAATGAACCGCCAACTATTCCAGCATATGTTTAACACAATGGCCTTCCAGCCGCAAGTCAATGATTATCACCGACATTTTACAAAATATCCATTTTACAAAAATTCAAATAGCCTACGACCTTAAGAATTAATAAATTCCAGACAGATCTGCTCCAATCTGAATAACAACAACACTAATAATAATAATAATAATAATAATAATAATAATAATCCAGGGATCGAGGTAGCTATAAGCTAAATAGATAAAAACAGGCCATGATTGTGAGTGGATGACACAGTAACAGTGTAGTCTGCAATAGGATAGATGACCTTTGGATCGGTTAAAAATAAAAATAATAATAATTGAAGGTTTGACGTCATTGATAAAGGTTAGTTAATATACAAGCCTAGATAATGTATAAAAGAACGCAAACTATGCATACACTTTTTTTTTATATTGGCAAATAAGATAAGAGCATTTATGTGACAATTAAAAATTTAAAGCTCACGATGTGATAGAAAGTCAACTCTGACGCAGGTTTAGTCTAAGTTTGTTGCATTTACAGGCTTTTGGCCAGCAGGTGTCGCCAACATGGTTTCAGGTGCACCGAAACAGTGAATTATTCAGTGAAGCGATTTGTTTAAAGCTTTGTTTCTCCCATGACGAGGCAGCAGTGGGGTTGTTGAGGAAGCAAATTAGTTGTGAAATAACACTTGAATACAAAATGAAACCTGCTTTACCTACTGTTGGACTGCATCAGGATCAGCTGGAGTCGAAACCCAGAGTGACCTGCAGGAATGAGCTGCTCATTTGAAGCAAGCACACAACTGAAGACACTTTGAGTTGATTCTGATTGGCCACTGATGAGGTCGGTTTGTGTGTGGTTGTTACATTTTACAGCATGGACTGTAGCTATCTATTCTCCTGACACCCGCTATTGATTGACTTGTTTCCACTGTAGTGGACGTTGCGTTTTCAATTGACAGCTCCCCTGTCAAGTCCTGTTGTACTGGTCAGCGGACATCCTGGGTTTTTTAGTGACGTGTCATTTGGTCATCCGAAGGCTAGCATGCTAGGAGCCACTTCTTATACTGCATTCAAAATGGCCGACGTACAAACTAGCACATTTTATGGGATGGAGAGAGGTATGTAAAATTAAACTTTTTAAATGTTTTTTTACTATTGTTATCACATATATATTTGTTTATTTAAGTGTCAGGAACAATACATTTAGCTGTCAAAGCTGTTAACTTGTTTGTGTTTAAAAATATCCTCCTTTTTGTAAATGTCCACTGCTGTGGACGCCAGGACCATCTTAATGTCATTAATGAGTGCATGTTGTAGGAGGCAGAACTGAAGCAGAGAGGATTCTTTAGAACGGTGGTTCTCAAAGTGGGGGTCGGGACCCCCTGAGGGGTCGCGGGGCAATGAAGAAGGGTCGCCTGGTGATTTCCAAAAATCTATTTATTTTTATTAAACCATAAGAATTAACATATTTCATCCATAAATACTGAAAATAAAAATAGTCGTTTATAGTTACTATATAGTTACTATAGTAGCTTATAGTTACTAGTTCTATTGAATTGCGACCCCTGGGGTAATTACATTATATTAAAGGCAGCAATAGCGTCAGATGCATTTTGATTTTAGAACATCAGGTTATACTTTCTGGCAGATTTAAAGCACTGACACAAATTTAATTGGTGTGTCTGCGTCATTGCATGCAAGGTTTCTGTATTTATAACCACCTCAGAGGATATTGGGGGTCGTGAGTCACTGGCATTGTTATTTTGGGGGTTGCGGGCTGAAAAGTTTGGGAACCCCTGCTTTAGAATATGGTTGAGGGAGACTCTGGCAATCAGACAATTAGAGAATTACAAGCAGTTTTAATTATTTTTCTGTTAAATTTGGATCACTTTTTTTGAGTTTGGCTCTCATTGAGCCTAACTGTTCCAGGAATTTCAATCGAAAAGGGAAAAATGGCTTTTGTTTTGTTTTTGTTGCATTAATATTGGACTATTATCCCTTTACAGCCATATCCTGTACAGTTCTGTTGTCTGAGTTTGGCTCTCGTTTTGAACTAAAATAGTCCCGTGGTCCACTACTGTAGACATGCTGTACATTTAAAAACAAAAAAGTAAAAACTAATTTGTATTTTTTTTTCTTACCCAAAGCATGTAGGAAATAACAGGAAAAAATGTATTTTGGTCTCAGAAGGCTATAAGAGGATTTAGTTGACACTTGTGTTAAAACAAAGTACACACACACAAAGTGTTTTGGTTACTCGATCTTAAAACAGACCCCGGATTTGACCCTTTGCACTAACTGATTCACTACACATTGGTTTTCCTCATCTACTAGATTCCTGGGGCGTTTAATTAATTGTGTAGATCTCAGTTTTAACTGGACATGGACAAACTTGCTTTCCACACAAGACGCGGCGAAATTATTAAAGATCAATACATGTGCAGTAATCATGCGGTTATGAACCAAACCATCACTCGTACAAATAACTCTTGAGCATCTTTACACAATAACTACTGTTTTTGATTTTGGTTAAGTTGTATTTTACAGCAAAAGTAATTATTCACAGGAAACTCTTTGAGTGAGTGAAATGTGTGGCTCTTAAAAGAGCCTTTGTGTTGGTATCAGTGAGAGCTCTACTTGGAGCTGGTGTATTTGGTGACGGCCTTGGTGCCCTCGGACACGGCGTGTTTGGCCAGCTCTCCGGGCAGCAGCAGCCGCACGGCGGTCTGGATCTCTCTGGAGGTGATGGTGGAGCGCTTGTTGTAGTGGGCGAGACGAGAAGCCTCACCGGCGATGCGCTCGAAGATGTCGTTGACGAACGAGTTCATGATGCCCATGGCCTTGGAGGAGATGCCGGTGTCAGGATGGACCTGCTTCAGGACTTTGTACACGTAGATGGCGTAGCTCTCCTTCCTGGTCCTCTTGCGCTTCTTTCCTCCTTTACCGGCGGTCTTCGTCACGGCTTTCTTGGAGCCCTTCTTGGGCGCAGCTTTTGCGGGTTCAGGCATGATGAAACTGTGTGATCGGAATCTCACGAGCAGATAAATTTGGGAAGCCGTACGGGGGTTTATATTCAATACTGTATGCTAATTTAGAGACGCCCTGATTGTGTGATTTCATAAGCCAAACCCACAAACTCACATTTCATTGGAGAACACGTTACAGAACTAAAGCCAATCGCAGGCGGTTAAATAACAGCTCCGCCCTACGATTCAAATTTTAACGACACACCCAATACTCGGTTTTCTTTGTCTCGTTTCCCGCTCATTCTAAGCTTAATTTGAAGTAGTAAATAGAAATCGTACCTGATTTTAAACCAGTCATGTATACAATCCTAAGAGACAATCCTAAAATATTTTGAAAGTTCAAATAACTTAAAAAAACTAATATTAGAAACACGTGAGATCAATACAGGAAACGATGCTTTCACTAATTTGATGTTTTATTGGTTTAGGTTCAAACTGTGCTTGCAGACTCTCGTGGATTTCTCTACATGTCTTATCATTCGGCTTTAAATGCTGAACCAAATTTCGCCACAGTCCATAAGTGTAATCACTAACAGTACTCAATGTCGCCCCTTGCTTTGTATTATTCACATCATTAGCGATCATGAATTTCTATTCTGATTTGGGCCATATTTACACAAATTTCCTCGTCGACAGTTTGTTCCATTTAAAAGGCGAACACTATAAATGCCATTAGGCTTGATTAAAGTATATAAATAATGGCACCACAACACATTACACGGCTTAAACAGTGGTCAAGGACTAGTGAATTCAGACCTCATGTTTAACACACATTATAATACGCTACACAAACATGCCTTTTAGTACCCATGCCAATTACCACCGAAATACTACTCATTTCAGCTTAAACTAAACTTGAATGCATATTAGCGCATCTAGTTGAAGGAAAATGCAAAGAATATCTGGCTGGTTCTAGACTCTTTCAGTGAAATGTTGGGTGGCTCTTAAAAGAGCCGTTGTGTTTGTTAGTGTAGTTTATCCACCGAATCCGTACAGAGTGCGTCCCTGTCTCTTCAGCGCGTACACCACATCCATGGCGGTGACGGTCTTCCTCTTGGCGTGCTCGGTGTAGGTGACGGCATCGCGGATCACGTTCTCCAGGAACACCTTCAACACCCCGCGAGTCTCCTCGTAGATGAGACCAGAGATACGCTTCACACCACCACGGCGAGCCAGACGGCGAATAGCGGGTTTGGTGATTCCCTGGATGTTATCACGCAGAACTTTACGGTGACGCTTCGCGCCTCCTTTACCGAGTCCCTTACCGCCTTTGCCTCTTCCAGACATGTTTAGCTGATGAACGCGTCAGACAAAATCAGACTGAATACCATTCAAATATCAAAGAGAGGTTGTTTATATCTGTCTACAGGACCTAACTGAAAGCACCGTCAAATCGCACGAGGCCACGCCCTCTCACTCAAAATGAAAGCCAAACAAAAAAAGAAGGCCTGTTAATGTCAAATGTAAATAAATATGTGCACTCTCCATGAGGTATGCTAAATTAAGCTACACAAATTGAATATGATGCATAATGTACAATCAGAAATGTTAGCAGCATTATTGTGTGAACGTTATTTGTCCTAAATCCATTTAGATCTACGATTTAGACACACGATTAGGATGTGTATGCAGTTTGCATTGCCAGAATCTTCACCCAGTATACACTTTTCATATTTAACTTGATATTTATGGCAAACTTATTTCAGGTGGATGAACTTCACATTAACACTATTACTTCACTATGACTGTAATCCTTATTTTCCTGGTTACATATAAATAAGAGAATTGTGCATATACGCGTGCCCATGAAGACTTGTTGAGGCAGACTTAAACAGACCTACATGTCATTCATTGATTTTCTTGTCAGCTTAGACCCTTTATTAATCTGGGGTCGCCACAGCGGAATGAACCGCTGCACGTTATCCAGCACATTTTTATGCAGCGGATGCAGCGGACGCAACCCATCTCTGGGAAACATCCACAAACACTTATTCACTCACACTCATATACTACGGACAATTTAGCCTACCCAATTCACCTGTACCGCATGTGTTTCTGTGGGGGAAACCGGAGCACCCGGAGGAAACCCACGCGAACGCAGGGAGAACATGCAAACTCCATACGAACACTTCATCTGTCTTGATCTCTTCCACTGAAGAGCCAATAATATCTGTTGTGAAGGTTGATAGACTTGAGTTTTAAAATGTGATGTGCTTGATTACAATTCCTGTGAAATCTGTTTTTATTTTAAATGATAGTTATAAAAATGTTATAATGGCTGTCGATGTATTTTCAGCATTGTGTACTAATGCATGTGTGTATTATTCGCACTGGATTTTCACAGCATTTAAAAATAATTCTTCATTTAAATCTATGCAACTTTTAAAAGCAAAAAGTGACCATCTGAATGTATTTAAACCCGTTATAACATTATTTATTATTTATTTTAAGTTTTCTTTTGCTTTGTACAATAAATCTAATACATGCTGTTTGGACTGGGATTGTCTTACATGCACACGTACAACAATCATCCCCAATACTCGGAATAAAAAGTGACTAATTTGACATGTTATAAGTTACTTATTATGGGCCGCTATAATGTTCAAAACCATTATTTTCAACAGGGATTTACGACAAGCGGTCGCTGCAGGGTTGGATTTGTCAAAGAGGCGTGGTTTTTTAAACGAGGTTCAGTTATTGGTTTGAATCCTCACCAGACTCTAACCAATGGGCGCCCTGCAGCTGTCCTTAAATACCGTGAGCAATCGCCTTACGATTCATTTATTCTCTCAGTTAATCTGACGTACTGAAGTAACTATGAGCGGCAGAGGTAAAACCGGAGGCAAAGCCAGAGCTAAGGCTAAGACTCGCTCTTCCAGGGCTGGACTGCAGTTCCCCGTTGGCCGTGTCCACAGGCTGCTCCGCAAAGGCAACTATGCAGAACGTGTCGGTGCCGGTGCTCCGGTGTATCTAGCGGCTGTGCTCGAATATCTGACTGCTGAGATCCTGGAGTTGGCTGGAAACGCCGCTCGGGACAACAAGAAGACCCGTATCATTCCCCGTCACCTGCAGCTGGCAGTGCGCAACGACGAGGAGCTGAACAAACTGCTGGGCGGAGTGACCATCGCTCAGGGAGGTGTGCTGCCCAACATTCAGGCGGTGCTGCTGCCCAAGAAGACCGAGAAGGCTGCCAAAGGCAAATAAGCGCTCTAGGAATCTTCTCTAAAACCCAAAGGCTCTTTTAAGAGCCACCCACTCCATCTAAGAAAGAGCTGATCTTCTAATACACCCGTAACAAAACATAACCACGTAAACCTTTGTCTATTGAACTTAACGTTCATGTCGTTGGCTCTAGTCAATAAAACATTTAAGCACCCGAACAATCTTGTCAAGGTTCCTTTAAACACCCAGGCAGGTGTGTTGAGGCAAGTTGGAGCTAAACCCTGCAGGGTCACCGGCCTTCCAGGACAGAGATTGGTGACTCCTGCTCTAGACTTTAAACCTGTTTCAGTAATATTCAGAGATCTAAGAGCCTCTCTATATATTTGATAAACTTATGTTGGCTTTATAGTCCCTTAATAAATGTGAATCATAGAAACTAGCCTAAACGTGGTATAAATTAACCACGTATCAAGTGACCAGGTTTAATGTTCATAAGAATTTGCATTTCTAATTACAGTAAGTCTGACCACTGTTACCTATCTCGCTGTACGATCTTTAATACAAACAATACACAATATAATCAATGTCATGAGTTTACTTCTTAATCAGTTTTTTTTTTATAAATGTACGCTCAAGATCTGTCTTGTTTGTTTGGTTTCTCTGCAGCAGTGGCATTCATATTGATCTGTGTTAAACTGAAATTTTAGCAGTTACATTTATACTAAACTGAATCAGTTTTAATCTAATTAGATATACACCAGTATTTTACCACTACTTGCTGAAATATTCCAAAATATGACATATCGCTGCTTTTTTATTCTCTTTTTAAGCTGCAGTAATATTGTTATAGAAATAAAGATAAATTGAAATACAGCAGTCTTGTTTTTCTTTATTGATTTCTATCTGCAATAACAGGTTTGACTTTATATACTTCAGCTAAATTACGTTTTTGCCTTTTTATGTTCATTAAAAATGCATTATTGATTTTCTGCAGTCCTGTCCTTTAAATGCTATCGTGAAGAGAACAAAAAAAACAAAGCATTTTGGGCGGGAAATACAGTCGGTCTCCTGCTTCCGCTTGTTTGAACATAGGAGACATGCGGAGATTGGCCAGCGGCTACACATCAGCCAATCAAAAGCCGCTGCGCCTCAACGGCTGAAACTCGTGGTGGTGAAACGCTTTAAAAGCGGCCGGTCACACACAGTGGCAATTCAGTTTTGACATACCCGAGCAAAACAGTCATCCGCAGCAATGGCCAGAACCAAGCAGACCGCTCGTAAATCCACTGGAGGCAAAGCTCCCAGAAAGCAGCTCGCCACTAAAGCTGCCCGCAAGAGCGCCCCGGCTACAGGTGGAGTGAAGAAGCCTCACCGTTATAGGCCCGGTACCGTGGCTCTCAGAGAGATCCGCCGCTACCAGAAGTCCACCGAGCTGTTGATCCGCAAGCTGCCGTTCCAGCGTCTGGTGCGAGAAATCGCTCAGGACTTCAAGACTGACCTGCGCTTCCAGAGCTCCGCCGTCATGGCCCTGCAGGAGTCCAGCGAGGCTTATCTGGTCGGCCTGTTCGAGGACACAAACCTGTGCGCCATCCACGCCAAGAGGGTCACCATCATGCCCAAGGACATCCAGCTGGCCCGCCGCATCCGCGGAGAGCGCGCTTAAACCCGTCCTGCGAAAACACAACGGCTCTTTTCAGAGCCACCTCAGTCTAACTTAAAAGATCAAATTCAATATCAAACTGATTTGCAACTTGGGTGCATCATATGCGGATTAGTGTTCTTAGGCATTTTTTAAAGGTGGTTGAACGCGGTGTGTGCCTGGATAATCATTCTTCTATCAATGATAACTTCTAAATCGTGGGTCCTTCAACAGATGTGCATTTTTCTTTCAAGAACAGACTATTAAAATATATCCAGAATTAACCGCATTATCACATTTGGGGAAAACATGGATGTAAAACTCTGCCAGCGCATATACTGAATTGGTATATCTATATTGCACTCATCATCACATAGTTTCCCTGCTTCCCCTTTAATGCAAGTGTGCAATATCTACATTTTCCCTCAATGATTCTTTTATCTGTCAGTTCATTCCCCATTATTCGAATATGTGCTGTTAATTCTGATGCACATACTGACATTTCGTCACTTACTGTTAAACTTAACTTGGTTTTAAATCTTGACACGTTTACTCGTACCCCTACTTTTTGCTCAACTGGATCTTTTGTCTCACCTGTGTAAATCTGTATGAAAGATTTAGATATCTATATATCTGGTTGTAATGTTGTAATGCAGATGACTCTATTTTTATGTTATGATTGACTGCTTGCGACTCTCTTTTGTTTAATGTTGTGATCTTGTAGATATTCTACTGTATGATGTATATGATTTTACATTCAATTTTTAGTCAACTTAATCTTATAGCAAATATTTCTGTTCGTCAGACCAGGCTTTGGATTTCATCTCTTCTTCTTCTTAGTTTTTTTGGCGACTTGTATTCTTTGTACATATCGCCACTTACTGTGCCAGTTGTGCAACCAGATTCTACCGGTTGACGCTGCGTGTTCAGCGCCCCCTCCTGCACACTGAATTCCTTAGTCCCCAGAATTGTACCATAGCACTAATTTTATTTACTTACATGAGTTATATTTTAGTTATTATTATTTACATTACTGTTAGTTATATTTTACTATATCCTTTTATATAATCCTGTATTATATAAAAAATGATTAAAATCCTATATCCTTTATGGTCATACTTAAACTCAGTCATACCCCAGTAGGTATCATATCTTTATCTTCCTTTCCTTTCTCCTTCAGATATTCAATTAGTTCCTTTCTTTCTTCTCTGTATTTTAAACATTCATATATTAAATACTGGATTGTTTCTTTTACATTACAAGATTCACATAATCCATTCTCATGTAAAAATAAAATTAAAAAAACAGTGAATCATTCAGTGGATTTCATCTTATTGTTCTGTGCTCTATTTGAAACGAAAGGCGTGGCCTGTTTGGTGCAGGGCTGGTTTCAGTTAGGTCCTCTAGGCAGATATAAAACGCTCTAACTCGACATTGTTTTATTTGACTTGCCCTGTCGGTTGTAGACATTTAAAATTAATACACAATACAAATCATGTCTGGAAGAGGTAAAGGCGGAAAAGGACTCGGTAAAGGAGGTGCGAAGCGTCACCGTAAAGTTCTGCGTGATAACATCCAGGGAATCACCAAACCCGCCATTCGCCGTCTGGCTCGCCGTGGTGGTGTGAAGCGTATCTCTGGTCTCATCTACGAGGAGACTCGCGGGGTGTTGAAGGTGTTCTTGGAGAACGTGATCCGCGATGCCGTCACCTACACCGAGCACGCCAAGAGGAAGACCGTCACCGCCATGGATGTGGTGTACGCGCTGAAGAGACAGGGACGCACTCTGTACGGATTCGGGGGTTAAACGGGTCAAAACACCAACACAACGGCTCTTTTAAGAGCCACCCAACATTTCACTGAAAGAGTCTAGAACCAGCCAGATATTCTTTGCATTTTTCTTCAACTAGATGCGCTAATATGCATTCAAATTTAGTTTAAGTTGAGGTGAGTAGTATTTCGGTGGTAATTGGCATGGGTACTGAAACACATGTTTGTGTAGAGTATTATAATGTGTATTAAACATGAGGTCTGAATTCACTAGTGCTTGACCACTGTTTAAGCCGTGTAATGTGTTGTGGTGCCATTATTGATATACTTAAATCAAGCCTAATGGCATTTATAGTGTTCGCCTTTTAAATGGAACAAACTGTCGACGAGGAAATTTGTGTAAATATGGCCCAAATCAGAATGGAAATTCATGATCTCTAATGACGTGAATAATACAAAGCAAGGGGCGACATTGAGTACTGTTAGTGATTACACTTATGCACTGTAGCGAAATTTGGTTCAGCATTTAAAGCCGAATGATAAGACATGAAGAGAAATCCACGAGAGTCTGCAAGCACAGTTTGAACCTAAACCAATAAAACATCAAATTAGTGAAAGCATCGTTTCCTGTATTGATCTCACGTGTTTCTAATATTTTAAAGGTTTTTTTTAAGTTATTTGAACTTTCAAAATATTTTAGGATTGTCTCTTAGGATTGTATATATGACTGGTTTAAAATCAGGTACGATTTCTATTTACTACTTCAAATTAAGCTTGGAATGAGCGGGACACGAGACAAAGAAAACCGAGTATTGGGTGTGTCGTTAAAATTTGAATCGTAGGGCGGAGCTGTTATTTAACCGCCTGCGATTGGCTTTAGTTCTGTAACGTGTTCTCCAATGAAATGTGAGTTTGTGGGTTTGGCTTATGAAATCACACAATCAGGGCGTCTCTAAATTAGCATACAGTATTGAATATAAACCCCCGTACGGCTTCCCAAATTCATCTGCTCGTGAGATTCCGATCACACAGTTTCATCATGCCTGAACCCGCTAAAGCTGCGCCCAAAAAAGGCTCCAAGAAAGCCGTGACGAAGACCGCCGGTAAAGGGGGAAAGAAGCGCAAGAGGACCAGGAAGGAGAGCTACGCCATCTACGTGTACAAAGTGCTGAAGCAGGTCCATCCTGACACCGGCATCTCCTCCAAGGCCATGGGCATCATGAACTCGTTCGTCAACGACATCTTCGAGCGCATCGCCGGTGAGGCTTCTCGTCTCGCCCACTACAACAAGCGCTCCACCATCACCTCCAGAGAGATCCAGACCGCCGTGCGGCTGCTGCTGCCCGGAGAGCTGGCCAAACACGCCGTGTCCGAGGGCACTAAGGCCGTCACTAAATACACCAGCTCCAAGTAGAATTTCGGCTTTAACCAACACTCAAAGGCTCTTTTAAGAGCCACACATTTGTTTCAGTTAAAGAGCTACTGTGTTAGTATTTGAACTTAAATAAGACATCTCCGTTTATATTTAAATGTTACTTCACTAATACTTCGGGTATACAATGTAAACAAGCTTTCGGTTTCACTGGTCAACCGTCTCTATGGTGACTGAAATATTGTTACCTTAAGAATAACAAGTCATTCCCTCGGGCTCATTCAAGAGGTCACTTCTGCTGAAATAAATAATGCAACACGATCAGCTTTACTAGATATGAATTTCACTATGTGAGATAAATTAAGTTTATTATATATGAAAGAGAATTGTGCATCGCTGGCATTAGAAAGATGCTTATTGTACCATTCTGCTTAAGATCACTGATTTTCCCTGTCGGATTGATATGTGATTTAAACTTGGTCTTAGACCAGACAAGAAGCCCTGCATTGAGTTTTATAGTTAGCGCTGTCTTTAAAATGATGATTTATTTTACTACAGTAAAAAAGGGAGTTAATTGGTGGCTGAAAACACTGCCTGCATAACCCCCATTTAGAATGTAAAGAGCCAAGAAGCTCTATAATAACAAAAACTCGTGCAAGATATGACCCATCTCTGATCAATAGAGGCCAATCTCCTTCTCTGATCATTTTAAAGGCACACCTCTCTGCCAGTTGTCTCTTAACCATCTCTTAACCAAATATTTCAATATTTTGCCTTTTGTAATTATACTGGTATTTTATACTTAATGTTGTTTAAAGTTAAACTTATGAAAAAAAAAAAAACAGAAGAAAAAAATTGTTTCCCAGAGATGGGTTGCGGCTGGAAGGGTATCCGCTGTGTAAAAACTTCCTGGATAAGTTGGCGGTTCATTCCGCTGTGGCGACCCCGGATTAATAAAGGGAATAAGCCGACAAGAAAATGAATGAATGAAAATATTTTGTTTGATCGTATCCCTATCAAATAAAGAAATATAATATACATGTACAATTTGAAAACTCAGAGTTTCAACTCCTGATTTCTGTACTTCAAGAGTATTTTTTTAAACTGAACCTAACAGGACAAAGATTGATAAAAGACCAGCTGTTGCTTTGAACTGTAATGACTAAATATCCCCCCATCTGTTTAAAACATCATCTGAAAGTGCCATTAAGTCTGTAATATATCATTAATAAATTCAAACAATTATAGGATAATATTTAGTTAATTAATGTTAAGCTGTAGGGTCCTGCAGGATGTCACTCTTGCATCAGAACCAGTTGGAGCAGTTTCTGGAAAATTGGTTTATTTTAGATGCATCTCATTTGAAAACTCAACACATGGTTTAAGATAAATGTTAAAACATTTCTATTAACTTGGATGTGTTTTAACCGGATTAGTAAAAAAATAACATTTCAATGTGTGCATAAATTCAGAGCAAAATCTCCAATGATTAGTTATAGACAACGATCAAAGTTGAAGAACACAAACAGACACTCAATAAATCTTCGGACAGCTAACTAATACAAGAGGTCACTTTCAATATAATCATTAAAACAGTTTAGAATTTTGCTACTGCTTCCATAAATGCAAACACTTTTTCATTTGTTCTGGTCTCCATCTTGATCTTTTCTATAGTTTATACTGAAACAGTAAAGTTGAATATTGTGTCAGGAACACAATCTAACTAAATAAATGTTTCTTTGTTTATATATTACTATATATTTTTGTACCCATAACTAAGTAGCAAAATATCCAATTGCAATGAACGGCGTGTAATCAATGAGTGCCCTGAATAACAGGCAGAACACATCATGCAAGATGATGAAAGGAACTTTACTTGTTTTGACAATTATAGTTTTTGATATGCATATTTACTGTATTTAAAATAAAATAATATCATCATCATTACTGCTGTTATGAGAAGAAGGATGGCATCATTATGATTTGCCTACAGAAGATGAGAGGCCAATACATTCCTCTTGATGGGGTGTCTGTGTGTTTCAAGAAGCCCAACACATAAGCTTCATGAAACCCTGCAAATGACTCTCACTGATGTTCATGTCATTAAACTGTCTTTCAGGGTGTTTACTGATCAAAAATCAAACGCGTTAATATGTTTTGTTCATTTTTAAACTTAAACGAGACACCAAATGTACACTCGGCTTTCCCCAGCGACTGATCTCCGCCCTGGATTTGATCTGAGTGTCAAAAAACAAAGCTTTATTCGTCGCGTATTATAGTCTCTAACCAAGACCCAGGACCTCCTTTTGCTGTTTACTCTGTTTTATAATGAGCTAAACTAATTTATCAGTGCAGTTTTATCCCAAATGTGAGAGAAGAAAACACAAGAGTGAGGCGTTCTAGCAGGCGCGCAAACCCAGAGCTGCGTGAGTTGAGTCTATAAGGTTCTCATGCACCTTTGAAGAGAAGCGCCGCTCCATCGTTGAATCAGACCGAATCTAGAAAGCTCAAGATCCGCTCAGAGAAATGGCAGAAACCGCCCCAGCTCCAGCTGCCGCTGCGCCGGCTAAAGCGCCCAGGAAGAAGTCTGCTGCTAAAGCCAAGAAGGCCGGTCCAGGCGTTGGCGAACTGATCGTCAAAGCAGTGTCCGCGTCCAAGGAGAGGAGCGGTATGTCCCTAGCCGCCCTGAAGAAAGCTCTTGCCGCCAGTGGTTACGACGTGGAGAAGAACAACTCCCGCGTTAAGCTCGCCATCAAGGGTATGGTGACTAAAGGCGTCCTGAAGCAGGTCAAGGGGACCGGCGCCTCCGGCTCCTTCAAGCTCAACAAGCAGCAAGCCGAGCCCAAGAAGAAGCCAGCCAAGAAAGCGGCTCCCAAAGCCAAGAAACCTGCCGCCGCCAAGAAGCCCAAGAGCGCTGCCAAGAAGCCCGCCGCTAAGAAGTCGCCCAAGAAGGCCAAGAAACCCGCAGCGGCCGCCAAGAAAGCAACTAAGAGCCCCAAGAAGGCCAAGAAGCCCGCGGCTCCTAAGAAAGCTGCCAAGAGCCCCAAGAAGGCCAAGGTGGCTAAGCCCAAGACGGCGAAGCCTAAAGCGGCCAAGCCCAAGAAGGCAGCACCCAAGAAGAAGTAGATGACATCTTCAGCTGTTTGTTCCTCAACGGCTCTTTTAAGAGCCACCCACTCATTCTGAAGAAAGAGCAGAACTCTTTAATTAAACTGATGTTAAGACATTAGCCCTCTAAATGCGTTTAATAAAATAAATTAATAATATATCAGCATCTTCAGAAACTGAGATGCAGTGGTGGTTGTAAACAACTAATGTAAATATGTTAATCTGAAATAAGTCAGCAGATGTGTACATTAATTTAGAAATAATGACTGATTACGTCATTACAGTTTTTCTATTTACAAATCTAGCAATTTATTATTACAAATTAATAAAATTTTACTCACCATGCATCTCAAAGCACAGAAGAAATTTAAATAAAATATGACGTCATAAAATAATTTCATAAAATATTGTAAGTTATTTATTACTCAATACATTGTTTCTTATGCATGTTAAGTTCATTGACATGTAAGCTTTAGTTAAAAGAACCATAAAAAACATATTGCGATAAATTAATTTTTGCAGAAGAAAAAAAAATCTATTTAAAAAAAAAAAATTTATATATATATATATATATATATATATATATATATATATATATATATATATATATATATATATATATATATATATACCTACACACACTCATACAAACGCACAAAAGTCTACGCATTCTATTGGATACTGCCAAAAGGGGTGTGGTATTTGGTGGAAAGTTTAGTGATTGGTTTGAAATCTTAACAGAGTCGGACCAATTGGCGCCTTGCAGCTGTCCTTTAAATACGGCAGACCGAGAGCAGAAACCATCATTCATTCTGTCTGTTTGAACTGATACTCTGAAGAAACAATGAGCGGCAGAGGCAAAACCGGAGGCAAAGCCAGAGCTAAGGCTAAGACTCGCTCATCCAGGGCTGGACTGCAGTTCCCCGTTGGTCGTGTCCACAGGCTGCTCCGCAAAGGCAACTATGCAGAGCGTGTCGGCGCCGGTGCTCCGGTGTATTTAGCGGCTGTGCTCGAATATCTGACTGCTGAGATCCTGGAGTTGGCTGGAAACGCTGCTCGGGATAACAAGAAGACCCGTATCATTCCCCGTCACCTGCAGCTGGCAGTGCGCAACGACGAGGAGCTGAACAAACTGCTGGGCGGAGTGACCATCGCTCAGGGAGGTGTGCTGCCCAACATTCAGGCGGTGCTGCTGCCCAAGAAGACCGAGAAGGCTGCCAAAGGCAAATAAGTGTTCCAGAAATCTGCATATAAACCCAAAGGCTCTTTTAAGAGCCACCCACTCCATCTAAGAAAGTGCTGATTTTCTAATACTCCCGCAACAAATCAAGCCACACCTGTTTCTGAATAAAGAGACACAAATACTAACTCTTTCGGTCATCTACCTACATACGGTACATTTAATATAAGAGTATTTTCCCGGTACTTAAAATATCAAATAAAACTACGCATTAATCGTGTTCAAAACAATTCAGGGTTGATATTAATGCTTTAATCAATATTGTGTGATCTTGACGCTTTTCTAGTATCCAGCCAAGCTTCATCAAATTTGTTCTCTAACAAATCAACTTTAGTAAAATCAGTGAGTGCAGTATTAATTAATCTCGGCTTTATTATTTAAAGCTCGGATTTGTACCCTTATTGCATTATTACTTATCAGGCTTTCCGAAATGTTTATTCTTTTTTTTCAATTATTGAGCTGCTCTATGTTGTACACTTGTTATAAATATAAGTTATATATATATATGAATTGAACTCAACTTCACATACAGTAGCCTTGATTGTTTAGTTTTTGATTACAGTCTATCAACAACAACTATGTCTTTATATACCACACCTAAACTATGTTTTGCCTTTTTATTGTAAATAAAATAGTTACAAAAACAAACAGCAAAGCATTTTGAGCGGGAAATACAGTCAGTCTCCACTTTCCGCTTGTTTGAACACAGGAGGCGCGCTGTGATTGGCCAGCAGCCACGCATCAGCCAATCACAAGCCGCTGCGTCTCAACGGCTGGAACTCGTGGGCGAGAAACGCTTTAAAAGAGGCCCGACAGCCATGCAGCGGCGTATTCAGCTTATAGATCACTAAGCAGAAGCAGCAATGGCCAGAACCAAGCAGACCGCCCGTAAATCCACCGGAGGCAAAGCCCCCAGGAAGCAGCTCGCCACTAAGGCTGCCCGCAAGAGCGCCCCGGCTACCGGTGGAGTGAAAAAGCCTCACCGTTATAGGCCTGGTACCGTGGCTCTTAGAGAGATCCGCCGCTACCAGAAGTCCACCGAGTTGCTGATCCGCAAGCTGCCTTTCCAGCGTCTGGTGCGAGAAATCGCTCAGGACTTCAAGACTGACCTGCGCTTCCAGAGCTCCGCCGTCATGGCCCTGCAGGAGTCCAGCGAGGCTTATCTGGTCGGCCTTTTCGAGGACACAAACCTGTGCGCCATCCACGCCAAGAGGGTCACCATCATGCCCAAGGACATCCAGCTGGCCCGCCGCATCCGCGGAGAGCGCGCTTAAACTACAGTTGTCCGACACACGTCAAACCCCAAAGGCTCTTTTCAGAGCCACTCAATTTACACAAAACGAGAGAATTTCTTTTATATTTAGTAGTTTAATTTACATTGACATTCGAAAGTGTGTTGTGAGAAATTAAATTTGATTACAAGAATTTTAATTATAGTAATGTTTTAATCCCATATGCCAAGCGGTTTTAAATGAGAAGCAAGCTGAACCGCTCTAAATAGTAGCTAGAAACAGTAGTCCAAGCTTTAGATGCTTCGCTTCTTTCTAAAGTCTATGGGTGTCTTGATTAAGATTTTATATATAATTAAATATTTAATATATTAAAAATAATAAATGGAAATGCATCAATTGTGGCAACAAGTCACTTGCAGCCTGCTAACGAACACTTACTGTCACAAGAATTGATTCACAATACAAAAAAAAAAAGTTTACAGAAGCTTCTATTTATAAACTTGACGCATTACATGAAGATAAGTGAACGAAGCAATAAGTAAATTACTTAATGAATGAATAAGTACATCATTTCCTGATTAGCAGATTTAGGTATTACATTTACATAAAAATAAAAAAAAACATGGATGTAAAATGATATTCATCAGATAAACAAGGAATTTTTTTCCCAGAGATGGGTTGCAGCTCGAAGGGCATCCGCTGCATAAAATCTTGCTGTATAAGTTGGTGGTTCATTCCGCTGTGGCGATCCCGGATTAATAAAAGGGACTAAGCTGACAAGAAAATGAATGAATGAATAAACAAGGAAATTATTACATGCAAGTAAGCATTAAATGTAATAAAATAATGAGAGTGGGGAGCTGTAGCGGATATTAATAAATATATTGCATTGATTTAATCTGTCAGAGAATGAGTTTTTGAAATTTTATATATTTAATTTAAGAAAGAAACACTAAGACTGCACTGCAGAAGAAATGTATAAATAAATGAAGGAATAACATTAAGGGTGCGCATGGAACCCATATGAACCCAAAATATTAACATAATTTGTCTTTTGAATTGAGAATTTGGCCTTTATATATTTACATTTAGATTAAGAATGTACTCATGCTTATTTAATTTGTGCATTATTTTTCCTTTGATAAATGCAGCTATTTCTGATTGTCCAAAATGCACATCAAACATTTAATGGGAGGCGAGCATGTGCATACACTGTGCTCATGCTTGACTGTACATACAAATGCCCCAAGCGTAAAGTAAACATGAAGTATTTGTGGAGCACGACAGACTTTCTATATCTTTATTTTATTGAATATGTATTCTTTAATTAATTTATTTTATTTTCTCTGATATAAGTATTTCATCACTGGTCCAAACTCCAGCCCAGTAGATGGCGGGAACGCACTTATCGTTTGCATGCCAACCTCCATTGTTGCTAGAAGGGATACAGTAGCGGTTGGAAGTTAACGATAGATATTTATTCTATTTATTAAATTATCCATTCGTTGTATTTTATTAAAGTCTACCACAATCATAAACAAATCCTCATGGTAATTTAAAAAATGTAAACAACTGTTGTGCAGTGTCACAAATGCTGACGTGATTGTCCGCAGCTGTATCCCTTCCAGAATCCGCAGCTGCTTTGTTGTGTGACGTTATCGGCGTGCGACGGCGCTTCTGCAGCGATGGAAAGATGCAGGAGGGCAAGAAACGAGAAAAAGAAAAGAAACGGAGCCACTGTGACCGAGAGCTGGACGATGGACAGATGAAGAGGAGGAAATCTGGGCCCAGCATGGAGGTAAGAGAGAGTCTGGACTAGCAAAGAGCGAATGTGGTGGGGTTTTCCCGTCCACTGTGTTGAAAACAGCGTCAGTGTGTGCCAGCCATGAACGTCTAAAGAAACACACTGTAACGTTACATATAGAAATATATCAGCATACATCGCCTAATCTCACCTGCGAGTTCTGCACAGATGTCACAGGGTTATTATTTGTATTAGGAATGGCTTATTCTGTTATTTATTTGTAACGGGGTCACACGATACTGCTAAAATAACCGAAATTGTTGTTAAGTGTTGCCATAAAGATAATTAGTACGATTATTATAACTTTTAAAACGCAATTTCATCATTAGTTTATCCATTTATTTAATTTATGTAATGATCATACTAAAATAAACCGGTAATGGATATTTTCAGAGCTAGTAATAAACACGCTTGTATGTGTGTGTGTGTGTGTGTGTGTGTTTATGTATATGTCTGTCACTATGTGTGTGTGTGTGTCTCTATTTGTCTTTATGATCGTGTCTTTGTATATGAATATGTCAGTCTATGTATGTGTATATATGTACGGATGAAGTCAGAATTATTCGCCCCTGTTTATTTATTTTTTTCCCAATTTCTGTTTATCAGAGAGCAGACTTCTTCAACACATTTCTAAATTCAATTCAATTCAGCTTTATTTGTATAGCGCTTTTACAATGTAGATTGTGTCAAAGCAGCTTCACATAAATGGTCATTGTAACTGGAACAGTGTAGTTCAGTTTTTAGTGTTTAAGTTCAGTTTAGTTTAGCTCAGTTCAGTGTGATTTAAAATCATTACTGAGAGATACATAATAATCATAATAGTGTTAATAACTCATCGCTAATAACTGATTTATTTTCTCTTTGCCATGATGACAGTAAATAATATTAGACTAGATATTCTTCAAGACACTTCTATACAGCTTAAAGTGACATTTAAAGGCTTCACTAGGGTAATTAGGGTAACTAGGCAGGTTAGGGTAATTAGGCAAGTTATTGTATAATGATGGTTTGTTCTGGAGACTATCGAGAAAATACATATCTTAAAGTGGCTAATAATTTTGACCCTAAATTGGTCTTAAAAAAATTAAAACTGCTTTTATTCTAGCCGAAATAAAACAAACAAGACTTTCTCCAGAATAAAAAATATTATCAGACATACTGTGAACATTTCCTCAATCTGTTCAACATCATTTGGAAAAAAAAAATTGAAAGGGGGACGAATAATTCTGACTTCAACAGTATTTGTTTGTCTGTGAATGCACGTATATGTGTTTAATATCTCGCCTGTGTGTGTGTGACAGGAGTGCAGGCAGCCTCTGGAGCCTCCGGAGGGCCCTCAGGAGCCCAGTGAGCTGGAAGACGGAGGCCTGGACCTGAGCCGGAGCTTCAAACCCATCAGCGGATACATGCAGGAGCGCAGGGAGATGCTGGAGCAGTGCTTCAGTGTGCTGGGAGAGAATAAACTGCAGGAGATGCTGCCCGATGGGCTGAAGGTCACACACGCACACACATCAGCCTTCATTCAGCATTAAAATCAATTAATAATCTGGTGTGTTCTCATAATCAACGCACAGACGCACCAACGATCTTCAATTCAGAAAAGATGAGTTTGAACACAGAATTTACTTAACAATATCACACACTGTAACAAGGGATGGAAAAGTTGACTTTGGTTTAACAATTTTTAAATCAACTATGTGCATAACTATTAATTGAAATTAATAAAATAAGTCAATTAAATTTAACATTTCCAAATTGCTCACATTTTCTAATCACTTTTTACAGTGCTGTTAAATTGTAGGATTAATTACACAGCTTCCTTATTTTTATTCTTTAATCAGATTTTAATGTTTAATGTTTTTATTTTGGATGTCGACATTTTTTGATTACAATTTAATTAAAAACATTATATTTAAAAAAAGACGAAACAAAAACTATATCATAAAAAAAACATAGTAATATGTAATATTGTTATGACAGTTTTTAGACATTGATATATTTGTTCTTTATTATTATTATTATTATTATTATTATTATTATTATAGCTTTCCAAGTAAACGATCCTGAGCAATCTTTATAAATTTGCAGTGAAAACATGGTTTTGCACTAGTTCCTCCTTTTAATTAAGTTTATCTAAATGAAGACATCATTCATTGATCGATAAAGTCTCGTATAAGCAAGTCAGTTTATATATGAAGAGTTTAGATGCAAAATCCTCTAAATCCCGTCTGAAATTTTCCTCTAAAATGAGCATTTTTATCAGGCTCATGTGTTCATGTTCAGTCATTTCACTTTTATGGCAAAGAATAAGTCCTTTTGCTGATCTTTAAAGTGAAATATCTCAACATAAACAAAGAAGGCAGCGAAAAACGTTCCTTTTCTATGGAAGTTTCAGACGGCACCTGGAGGTTTTCGCATCTGAACTCTAAAAGCGGGAGCTGGGAATGTCCTGTCACATTCATGAGACTTGTGTCAGATGCTTCAATAACCACATCTTTAATTCCCACAGGATTGTTCGCTGAATGAGATTAAGAAACTGTGCTGGGATCAGTTACTGCAGATTTCTGACATTCACCTGCTGGAGATCTTAGATGGTAAATATCAAACACCTTAACCATATTCACTCTGTGCTTGAACACGCAAACCAAACACTCACCTTTCTGTGTTTTTATTTAAAAAAATATATTATAAAACTACATTATTATTGTGATTATTAATTATTATTATTATTATTAAAAGACTATTATTATTATTATTGTCATTTATTATAAATAAAATCAAGCATTTTAAGTCCAACAATAGTAACCTAAAGGTTAATATTAAGTTTCATAATATTAATTCAACCTAAACATTTCATAATAATAACACAAAATATATATATATATTAAATATAATTTAAACTGTAAACTGTTTTATATGATACTAGTGTTATTATTTGAGAAGTAAGGGTCTCCTGTTATTCCTTGTGTGTGTGTGTGTGTGTGTGTGTGTGCGTGTTTGTGTGCAGGTAAAGAGCTGTCAGTCCTTGCTGCTCCTGAACAGAAGAGCTGCACAGACAGTCAGTGAGTCGAAAGTCCTCCATCACTTTTCTCTGATTATTAACCCCCTCAGAGGATTGATCGTGTGTTTATCCTCATCCACAGGCAGGACAGTAACGTAGACTCCACATCATCTCTGAGGGACAATCCTGACACTGAAGAAAAGCAGGGTAAAATAAACACATATCAACGCTCGACTCCTCAGTTTCCCGCTAGATTTGTGTGTCTGTGTTTTTGTGTGTGTGCTTTTGTGTGTTTTATCTATCTGTGTGTGTTGTTTGTGTGTGTTGTGTGTGTGTCTGTTTTTGTTTGTTTTATCTATCTGTGTGTGTTGTTTATATGTGCGTGTGTGTGTGTCTGTGTTTTTGTGTGTGCTTTTGTGTGTTTATCTATCTGTGTGTGTATGTGTGTGTGTCTTTGTGTTTTTGTGTGTGCTTTTGTGTGTGTTATGTTTGTGTGCGTTTATGTGTGTGTGTGTGTCTCTGTGTGTGCTTTTGTGTGTTTTATCTATCTGTGTGTGTGCGTGTGTCTGTTTTTGTGTGTGCTTTTGTGTTTTGTGTGTGTGTGTGTGTGTTTTTGTGTGTGCTTTTTGTTTTTATCTATCTGTGTGTGTGCGTGTGTGTACGTGTGTGTCTGTGTTTTTGTGTGTGCTTGTGTGTTTTATTTGTGTGTGTGTGTGTGTGTGCTTTTGTGTGTTTTATTTGTGTGTGTGTGTGTGTGTGTGTGTGTGTGTGTGTGTGTGTGTGTGCTTTTGTGTGTTTTATGTGTGTGTGTGTGTGTGTGTGTGTGTGTTTTGTGTGTGCTTTTTGTGTTTTTATCTATCTGTGTGTTGTTTGTGTGTGTACGTGTGTGTCTGTGTTTTTGTGTGTGCTTGTGTGTTTTATTTGTGTGTGTGTGTGTGTGTGCTTTTGTGTGTTTTGTGTGTGTGTGTGTGTGTGTGTGTGTGTGTGTGTGTGTGTGTTTTGTGTGTGCTTTTTGTTTTATCTGTGTGTGTGCGTGTGTGTCTGTTTTTGTGTGTGCTTTTGTGTGTTTTATTTGTGTGTGTGTGTGTGCTTTTTGTGTTTTATCTATTTGTGTGTTTTTGTGTGTGTGTGTGTGTGTGTGTGTGTGTGTGTGTGTCTGTGTCTGTGTGTTTTTGTGTGTGCTTTTGTGTGTTTTATCTATCTGTATGTGTTTTGTGTGTGTGTCTGTGTGTGTGTCTGTGTGTGTGTCTGTGTTTTTGTGTGTTTTATCTACCTGTGTCTGTTTTTATGTTTGTGTGTGTGTGTTTAGTTTCTGTGTGTGTGTGTGTGTGTGTGTGTGTGTGTGTGTGTATGTGTTGTATGTGTGTGCTTGCATGTTTGTTGCATGAATCTGTAGGTTTGCATCTTTGTGTGTGTGTGTGTGTGGGGGGGGGTTGTGAATGTGTGTATTTGTTTTTTTCATCTGCATGTGTGTGTGTGATGTGCACAGGTTCTGGAGAAGACAGTGACGTTCTCAGCATCAATGCAGAAATCGACGACAGCGACATCGAAGGCCACAAAGTGCCTAAATCTGAAGAGCCGTCACTCAAAGATGAAGCTCCACCTCCTAAAGATGAAGCCCCGCCTCCAGCCCAGCCCCCTGAACCTAAAGTGGAGCTCCAGCAGGACATCGAGCGGAGCGTCAGTGAGATCCTCAGCTGCTCTGAGTCCCGCAAGGAGCCGAGCGCAGAGAGAGCCGGAGCTCCAGAAACTGCAGAAAAGCACCCGTCAGCTCAACAGCTGGAGCTCCTGGAGCTGGAGATGAGGGCCAGAGCCATTAAAGCACTCATGAAGGCCGGAGAGAGCAAAAAACACACGCAACCCCACTGAACATGGACAAATCATTGGGAATATTGACTAAAACACACTTTAAGTTCCTGAAATGTCCGACAGATTTGCTGTGGATCATGACAATTATTAGAATTTGATATAATAATGTTTTGTTGTTATTAAAAAAATCCCTTAAATACTAGATGTCTGTTGGATGCTTGATTCTGATTGGCTGATGGTCACTCAGGTATTCGGTCATTGTTAGATAAAGGCACAGCTAAAAGTAGTTCCGGCAGATTTTGAGTGCATTACAGCTCCACATCACACTGCTGAATGATTAGTTATTTCAGAGGTATCACAGTCAGAAGTCGCATTAGAACAGAAGGAGGAAGAGGAGATGTGAAACACACAGGAGGACTCAAGCTGTGTTCTCATCCCCCTAGGCACCCTGACTGGCTCCTCACCCAGCACAGACTCCTTGGCACTGAAAACCGCCCTGCACATCCCAGCACACTACACCCTTGCTCCATATCCCTAATAATACCTTATAGCTTGTCTCTCTGTCCATGTGATCTCTCACCTGCGGCATCTGGTGGAGAATGCGGGCAGTTTGAGGGGTCCCACATGACACGGGTATTAACATCTGGACTGTTTTTTCCCGGGGCTGAAGATGGACGACATCCTCTGCCTGATGTCGTTGCAGTTAGTGATGCTGTGTTCAGATCAGACATGGAAGAAGTGTCCTAGGTGGACCTCTGAAAGGATCTAGTGGACTCAGACACAGCTTCAAACTAATCGACGCTGTTTATTAGCCTGCATAAAGCATATAAACACAGCTAATCTCTCAATTGAATCAATGTTAGCCATTTAGCAATGAAGCTAAAGTCACCAGGCAGGCAGAAGCCCAGCCCATCACGCGAATCCGCATCTCTTGTGAAGTGAATTTGAAGTGCAAATGAAACAAGTAAACTCATAAAGTTCACGTGTCTATTAGGTAGTGCTAACGTCTCACAGCAAGAAGTTTGAGCCCTGTTGGCATGGGTTTCCTGGGTTTAGTCCAATCACATGAATTGGGTAGGCTAAATTGGCTGTAGTGTATGAGTGAGTGTGTGAATGACTGTGTATGAGTGTTTCCCAATGATATGTTGCAGCTGGAAGGGCATCGACTATGTAAAACATATGTAAGATAAGTTGGCAGTTCATTCCGCTGTGGCAACCCTTATTAAAGGAACTAAGCCGAAAAGAAAATGAATGAATGACTACTAAATATATACCGAATAAGACCTCGGTTTTTGTCTATACAAGACATTGTTTTGGCGGTGTTTGAGTATTACATTGTCTCACGGATTAAAATGTGTCTGTTTATGTATGTTCAATGATGGTTTGTTCATGTATTTACACATTTGAGAGGATGTGTTTGCGTATTTGTTTCAGTGATTAATGCGTTTTATTTAGGCAAGTTTGACAGCATTTATTTATTTATTTTAAGACCCTTATGATTAAACAGCGTGAGTTAATTCATTACTTATCAAATTGGCTTCCGTAACTTACAGTGTGAAGTGCGCATGCGCGCTGCCAAACTCTCTCTGTAAACATCAGTAATTTCAGCCAGCAGATTCTCAAATAAAGAGCTGAAAAGTGTTTTCAGCCTCTCCTGGAAAACTCCCAGCGCTCTGCTATCCGCCATCACCAAGATTAAACTAATAAAGCTCCGCGAATTAAGTCTTTTATTCACACTTTTTACGGAAACAGCGCCACAGCTAAAGTTTGATGCAACGTCCTGCGTCACGTTGGCGTGTGACGCAGACTCCTGATGCGTCTGGTCACGTGGTTCGATGTGCGTAAACAGAACACAGCTTTCATATTATTAATTTTTATATTTTAAGTATTAATTTAAATTTATTTAATTAATTACTATTTATAAATACGCATTTATAAAACACGTGCATTTTTAAAAAGTTCTCAGCAGGTGAGAAGGGGCGGGGCTGGAATCAATGCAGCTCTCAGTTCATATTCATAACAAAACGAGGAAAAATCAGGAGTTTTCATCAGCTGCTGAACACTACTGAAGCTTCACGCTGCAGTAATTACAGGTACGTGTACAACTTTATCTTTTATGGCTATTTGAAACTCGTAAATCTTTGAAAATGATGTGTTTTTCGTTTAAACGTATACGTTAAGTAGATTAACCTGAGTATCCAACGCAACAAGTGGGTCAGAGCCAACTGTTAGTGTACAGGTTTAGCTTAAAAGCGTTATTATATATACAATGAATGCCTGTCATAGATGCTTATGCTACTTATTTTAATTAATTTACTGTTAAATCAAATTGACATCCGCTTTGTTGTATAATGGAAGACGTGTTTGTTTGACTAAAGCTTTCACCAAGTGACCAGAACACCGGAGAAGCAGAGAGTTGTGTGTATTGTATAAGGATGAATGAATCATTTGTGTTGCGGTCTTTATTGTTCGCGTTAAAGCTTCCAGGTTTGTGTTTGTGTTAGAGCCTCGTGTCAACTTGTTCACATATTGTTTTAGCGATTATTAGCTCTCTAACTGACTTTCTGTGAGTAAATACAATGGCTAAGTATGATATTTTGGTTTTTATATTGAATTCAAGCTGTGTTTTGTGAGATGAATATAGTAATCTTCTTTAGCGTGTATAGAGGTTGTGATTGGTTCAGAATCAACAGCGCTGAAAAACGGAACGCTTATTACGTGACCAGACTGATTCTTGAGTTGAGTTTCGAGAAACAATTGACATTTGTAGACGCTCTGACATTATGACGTTGAGTGGGAATATGTTATACTATGATGTACACCCAGCTAACCGCGTCCAGCCCCTAATAATCGCCTAAACACTCGAGATATTTTACTAATATTGATATTTGCAGGCAGCAGGTCTGATCATTTCAGTTTAGTAGTTTTGCTTTCACTTTTGAGTATTTCTGCAACTGAAGATAAAGCAGGTTCTTCTGTTGAGACAGAACTTCCAGGGTTAGTGGTTGCTTATATCTGTATTACTGTCATTTCAATATGTTTTCTGTCATTCCGCTTGAATAATCATTATTACATACATTATATTAAGTGCAGGACAAAATAATGATGTTTTGTTATATTTAAGTTCAACAAAAATAAAATATTAAATAAAATTACATAAAAAATAATAAATGAAATAAAGTATTTTATGATATTGTATTAAACTGTATTGGCTTATTGTTTTATTTTAAATGCTTTGGGTTTAGGGACATATATTTATAATAAACTTTGTACATAATGCATATTGTCTCCTCTAAACCCTTAAAACCAACCCTCACAGGAAACAATCTGCATTTATTTATTTATTTATTTATTTATTTCCTCTTCAAAGTCCTTAATTCTATGCGATTAGCAGCCATCTTCCTCATGAAAATGAAAAAAAGTCGCCTCAACGTCAACAGATAACATGGATTGTTAGACTTCCTGTATTTGCATGTTTAAAACATAAATTAAATATTAGGTGGTTAAAACCCTGCATAATTGTGATAATATGACTCGTCTTTCTCAGCAGAGTTAAGCTGTTGTTTTTTTTCGTAAAAAAAAATAAGAGAGGCCGTGTTCACTCCGCTCCATGCTAAACTAAAGTGTTTTTTAATAATCGAATATCACAATGTTGCGCGACATAAGTCAATTATGAAATTCGTTGCGAACGATTTTAGTAATCGTTTTTTTGCGATTTAATTGATTCGTTGTTGCAGACTTAACATTGCAACTGATGCACATTTATACAATACAAACGAATAGGCATGGGCTAAAGGTATTATAACCTTGGACAAAAATAGTATGGATTCCTTTACAACTTATAGACTAAAGAACATTTTAGCAGTTTTAAAACCTTGACTTTTTTTCAAACTGCGATTAAAACTTGACAAACGAACTCCAGCTTTATGTTATCTGTCCAGATGGCGTCATCAACCGGAGATAGCAGCGTTCTGGAGGAGGAGCTGACCTGTCCGGTGTGTCTGGATTTGTACCGTGATCCACACCTGCTGCCCTGCGGACACAACTTCTGCCTGCAGTGTTTACGAAGACTAAAGGGCCGCTCAGAGCGCGGCCGGTTGCGTTGTCCTGAGTGCCGGCAGACCCACCGCTGTGCTGCCGCTTGGCAGAAAAACTTTAAGCTAGCCAACATCACTGACGGTTTCCGGCGCCGCAGCCAACCAGAGCGCAGCACACAGAGCCGCAGCGAGCCAGAGCACAGCCGCACAGAAGTGCAGTGCGATTACTGTCCAGCAGAGGGCGCTGATGGAGGGAAAGCGGTAAAAACGTGTTTAAAGTGCGAAGTGTCAATGTGTCCGACACACGTACGGCCTCACCTGGAGCTGCCGGCGTTCAGAGAGCATCCGCTGGTGGAACCGCTTGCTGACATGAGCATGAGGAAGTGCTCCGATCACGACGAGATGCTTCGCTATTACTGCGTCGACGAGCGCTTGTTTCTGTGTAACGCGTGCACCATTGAGGGAACGCACAGCGGACACACAATCAAAACACTGAAGAACGCCATGAAAGACTTGAAGGTGAGTTTGTTCACATTTGTAGACGTTTGTCCTGTTTAAAAACATTACAAAGTCCTCCTAAAAGGATTGAAAGTAGCTAAAGTAGTAAAAAAAAATTTAATATTATTTTTTTTGGTCCATTTTGACTTATTGAGTCAATCACTGGATTCCCACAAAAGGAAAACTTCTATAATTTATCTCTCGCAATGTGTAAGTGTGCTTTTTTTTCTCTGCGTTTTTTTATAGTTGTTTGTTTATTTACAATCCATCTGCCAATTTAGAAAGGTAATGGAATAATTAACGTCAAAAATAGCAGACTACTTGCTATACAAACAGTTGTGTCTATGACTACATAAAACAGAATTTCTGTTAGGACACGATTCAGTTTTCACTTTGTATTGGCAAGAAGAAACATGTTGACAGCAAGACTCGTTAAGAGAGTAATCTGAATTTACATATAATTGAAAGTACTTAAAATTAGTGTAACCTTGCTTGTAACCAGACTGCAGTTACTTTATGTTAATATATATATATATATATATATATATATATATATATATATATATATATATATATATTTTTTTTTTTTTTTTTTTTACGCAATATCATTAATTCATTCTTTTTATTTATTAATTTTATTTTAATTTAATTTAATTCCGTTATTAATTTTATTTATTAATTCGTTTAGTTTTATTTTTTCCTAATTAACTTGCTTCGTATATACCTGATTCCGATTGGTCAGTCACGACATTCCAAGCTATGTTATTCAGAGATAACAACCGCCGCATAACACTGACTCATCTGCGAACAGCGAATCATCTTGATTGAATTGTTTGACTGTTTGGCGCCATCTAGTGACTTAATGCATAAGTTAGTGTAAACTCCATTCAACAGTTTTCTTCCCACGTTTACATAGGACGTGGCCTATGCACCTCATTTTGTTTATAAATGTGACTCTCATGTTCTGCTTTTCTCTCCCAGGCTTTTCTGGACATTCAGCAGCACAAGACAAGTCGGAAACTCCTGAAGGTGGAGCGCAACAAACAGGAGCAAACGGAGATCGAGAGACACGCAAAGGTGAAAACAGTAGTGAAGTCATTAGTTATTTTCTTTTTATATATATATATATATATATATATATATATATATATATATATACATATATATATATATACATATATATATATTCATTTTTATTTGTTTATTTATTTTAGTTTGGCTGGAATTATAGCAGTGTTATTAATTTATTTTTTTTAATCATTGTGAGGTCAATATTTGTAACCTATTTATTTTTCTATTGTCTACAGAACAAACTGTGTTTTAGAAAATCTCTTCAAATAAAAAAATTATATATTAATTAGACAATTCTTTTATTTCTTCATTTATTTATTTATTTTATTTTTATGTAAGTTACCCAGCACTTGTCTTGTTCATTCAGACGTGTGTTGTGTTTGTAGGTCTATCGGGACGACACGGACCAGCATCTGGAGGCGTTCAGAGAGAGCTCTGTTGCACATCTGGACGGTTTTCTGTCTTCTCTGCGTGATAGCATGAGCTCGTATGATGCGGAGCAGAGTTTAGGAGTCCAGCAGAACCTGAGCCGCATCTCGCAGGACCAGAGCCGGCTGCAGGAGGTGCGATCCGGCTTCCAGAGGCTGCAGCAGCAGAGCGACGCCTTCCAGTTCATCAAGGTAAATGCAGAAAAACACTCACATTCATGGTTTAAGAAAGTTTTTTTTATTTATTTATTAATGGTTTTTCTGTTATTATTCTTCATTACTGTGATTTTTAAAATTGAGAAATTATTTTTATTTTATTTTTGTCATTACATGAATATAAAGTAAACATTTACATTAGCAGTTAAATTACATTTTAATATATCTGTGAATCAATACATTAGCAATAATATATGAATTAATTAGTATATTAATAATATATTAATAATAATAATAATGTACATTAGGAAACAATTCTTATTTTTTTTTCTCTCTCTCTTTTGGCTTTCTCTCTTCTCTTTTAAGGATTATAATTCATCTATGAAAAGGTAAGGCAGATTCAGTCAATTGTGCTTTTTTTTGAGTATTTTTTTTACCCATTGAGCAACACACACATACACACATACACAGACACACACAGACACACACAGACACACACACACACACACGTTCAGATTAAATTAAATGTAACAGCTGTTTTTCTCTGTGTGTGCGCATGTGCGTGTATCTGTATGTGTATGCATGCATGTGTTTTTGTGTCTGTCTCTCTGTATGTGTCTGTATTGTGGCGTGTGTTTGTGTCTGTCTCTCTCTCTCTCTTTGTGTGGGTGTGCATGCATGTGTGTGTCAGGTACCGCAGACTGCTGAGGAAGCCGCTGTTTTTCCCTGATGAGCCGGCGGTGGACACTGAGCCGCTGTATGAAACGATGGAGGGAAAGATGGAGGAGTTCATGGCTGAGCTGCGGCAGAGCACCAGCACACTGCTCAACACCGTCTGTGAGTTGATTGTTATTATACAACATGCGTTCATCCATTGGAAATAACGAATTTGCGCACGCAAAAGACGTGATATGTGAACGGCCCGTTAAACACTGCTAGCCTTAGGGGCCGATCACACTGAACGCACTTTTCCACAAAAGAAGTGCTGTGCGCTTTTTATGTCACTAGGCAATGACTGAATCAGCTGCGTAATCTGCGTGTTGCTGTTGATATTAATATAGCTTTAATATTTAATAAAATTGTGATATTCCAGACTTGTGATCCGTACAGCACCAGATAACTCAAAACAGTAACCACTAGTCTCTCCTTCATCTTCTAAAGTCTCCATAGTCGTCTTGACAACACAAATACTGCTGTCAACTCAATGGAAATCCCACCTCTGCTTTCATTGATTGGAGAATGATGTAACATGCTTTTTTCCGCTCAGAGTTGACTTTTTTTTTTTAACTGCAAGCGCACAACGCGCAACGGCAAAAACGCGAGGCGCAGCAGATTGTTAAAATGCAAGGCGCACAACGCACGTAGCAGCGCATTTATACTTCTGCATGCCGTTTCTGTTGTTTTGCAATAACACTTCCAAAACACTAGTGGGCATTAAGGGTGTTTATGTTCCTCTGTGTCGAGTTTCTTCCCTGGTGTTTTATTTTTTCTGGACGCTTCCTGAATGTACAAGTGGCTCAAACTCGCTCATTTTAAGGCGGAAACCGGCGGACGTGCAACAACTTTAACCATGAGGTAAACACAAAACAAAACTTTCCATCTGGATCTCCTACACGAGACTCCACACTTGTAAACAATCACTCCTTCGGGCTTGCGCGGCTCTCTGTCCCGCCCACGCCCTTCAGCACTACCCAGCTGACCAATCACAGAGCTTGCGCTAAGAGTCGTTGCAACATGTAGTTACAATTTAGAGAGGTGTGCCACGGCATAGGGCTATGCGTCAACACGTAGGCTGCGCCGTAGCATGCACATGCGCTTGACGGAGAAGTATAAATCAGCTTTAAGGCATATTTAATCCTTATTTGCATGCGTATTAGCCTCGGTGTACAAGCTTGGAACTTTAAACTAGCGCACAGTTGACAACTTTTAGTTGCAGCAGTTTCATTCCATGCAACTGAAACACGATATTAAGAAGCCTTTACAATTAATTAACCATGACTAATAAAAGCGTGGTTAATAGTGAAATCAGTTAATCGTTGCATTCCTTAATGTCAGACGATTGAGAAAAAGATTTGTTATTACTTTTAATGAATTTGGTGGTCAGAATTCTCTAAATATTTAGCATATTTTAGATGCTAATTGATAATAATCCCTGATGCATGTATGGAAGCACTAAAACATGAGTAAATCCCTATAAAAACATAGTGATGGAAGAAATTAAGCTTTTTGAAGAATCAAAACTATCAAAATAGTTCTGAAGCGTTTCAAAACACCAATGCTAGCGACACCTGCTGGTCAAATAGTGTAAACGCGACAAACTCAGGCAGAAAATGCATTAAAATTCCTAACATTTAAATTAAAAGTATAACCTATAAGTGCACTTCTCATCTAATATCATTATGTAGACGCCTTTAATATTTACTGTGTTGTTTTATATTTATTATAACTGTAAATCTCAGGCTAAGTGGCTCCTGTCACTGTTCATCTAAAACTCCACATCTATAATCCTCTTAGTCTATGCTGTTATAAATAATTATCTTCAGCAGCTCAAACACTCTAATGGCTAATGGACAGACGGCTGCTTCTCACTAGAGATGCTAATGAGGTAGACTAGTGGGCGGGGCTTTCCCCTCTGATGACACGTACAAAGGGAGAATGTCAATCACAGTGCTTCATTCATCAAGTCTGATTATAGCAAACACAAGTAACTCATGTCCACCAATAGAGGCTGGAGATATTCACACACTCCCGCCTGTGTTCAAACCCTTTATAAAGGTGATTGATTACATATTGAAAAGTGTTATTTAATAAAAACTGAACATTAAGGGAAATAGTTAACATATTATGAGCTTTATAAACAAAACAGCCTCCTGTCTGCTTTATAAAGGTGAATTTGAGGGTGCAGACGGTGAGGAGGAGGATGAAAATGAAGACGAGGAGAGTTTTGATGAGGATGATGATGATGATGAAGACGACAGTGAGGAAGAAATGAGGAGTGAAGAAGAGGAAGAAGAAGGGCAAATCCTCACAGCGTCTGATGATGAAGATTACACCCCGGAAGAAGAGGAGGAGGAGGATGAAGACTAGAAGAGGTGCAGCTCCATTATAAGACACTTCAGCAGATATTTTTGATTCAAGATACATTTATTCCTGTTTGTATTCACTAAGAAGCGCTTGTGTTGGATTAATCTACGGATTGAACTATTATTTGATGGAGTTCATATGATTTTGATGGTGTTTTTGGTAAAGGAGAGCAGGTTTCTGTGTTGAAGCTCATGTTGTGTTCATATTGATGCTGATTGGAAACGGGTTTGATTTGCACTTTTCTCTTTATTCTCTGCTAAATGTTGCTGTGTTTTTCATCTAAAGATAAATCTAATATTGTTTTGTAAGAAAAGCTGATGTATGTATGAAGAAGAGTATAATAAATATTGTTTCATAATCTGTTTGTCAACGTCTCACAATTACTAATCATTCATTTTACTGTCCTTGACGTTTGTTTTAAATTAAAGGTTAGAAAGCATCGATTATATAAATGACATTATTATCCTCATTTACATGTTGCTTTTGTTAAAAAGTAAAGATATTCATATTCAATTCCAGTTTATTTGTATGTCGCTTTTTTATTGTTTCAAAGAAGCTTTTTCATAAGGGGCACATTGCATTACAATCGGAAGTTATTTGATATACAGGAGACATCAGTAACCTGCAATTTTATAGCATATTGGTGATGTCTATATTTACATATATAATAACATGTCAAGTGTAAGACTGACGCTTTTACAATTTGATAGCTTTAATGCTGGAAGACTGAAGATTCTGCAAACCTGTTCTTGACATGTAGACCAAATGCAGGACGCCTATCCATAACCTTTGATCAGATCGGGGGTTACTTGGCCTGAAATTTGCAATGATTTAATACATAGTTAAAAACTACTAGATCTGGGTAGATACAATGGGAGATAATGCTAATTGTTGCAATAAAAAGCTAAAATGCGGAATAAATCTGCTGATAATTTACGATTTATTTTCACTATTATTTACTATTTTATATGCACCGAGGCATTTTAATAAAGCGTTGCAGTTCAGTCTGATAATTTACTCTTCTTCAATTACCTTTTTATTTATTTAACCTGGAAACAAAGTTCTAATAAAACATTAGCTCACAATAAAAATTAAAACAGGTTTGGAACCAAATGAGATTAAATACTAGTCAGTTAATATTAGTTCAGTAGAACTCAACACTAAAATTAACCAGTGTTACATCGTTGATTATTGTGAACAAAAGCCCTTTACACGAAATATTTGGGTGGCTCTTAAAAGAGCCTTTGTGTTGGTATCAGTGAGAGCTCTACTTTGAGCTGGTGTATTTGGTGACGGCCTTGGTGCCCTCGGACACGGCGTGTTTGGCCAACTCTCCGGGCAGCAGCAGCCGCACGGCGGTCTGGATCTCTCTGGAGGTGATGGTGGAGCGCTTGTTGTAGTGGGCGAGACGAGAAGCCTCACCGGCGATGCGCTCGAAGATGTCGTTGACGAACGAGTTCATGATGCCCATGGCCTTGGAGGAGATGCCGGTGTCAGGATGGACCTGCTTCAGCACTTTGTACACGTAGATGGCGTAGCTCTCCTTCCTGGTCCTCTTGCGCTTCTTTCCTCCTTTACCGGCGGTCTTCGTTACGGCTTTCTTCGAGCCCTTCTTGGGCGCAGCTTTAGCGGGTTCAGGCATGATGAAACTGTGTGATTAAAATCTCACGAGTGTATAAAATGGGAGCCGTACGGGGGTTTATATTCACTACTGTATGCTAATTTACAGACGCTCTGATTGTGTGATTTCATAAGCCAAACCCACAAACTCACATTTCATTGGAGAACACGTTGCAGAACTAAAGCCAATCGCAGGCGCTTAAATAAACGCTCCGCCTTACGATTCAAATTTTAACGACACCCTTCAAGGTGCTCTGTTCCCTTTGTTTCGTTTCCCGCTCATTTTAAGCTTTATTCTTTTGTAATAAATAGGCAAAGCTATAAATCAGGCATGTAGAGCCTTAAAAACAAAAGTTTATTACTTTAGAAAAACGATTAAGCCCTTTGAGCAAAAGCCTTTAAATGTATTTAAAATAATGTTCTTAACATATCGTTCAAAAGTAGCATAAACTGCATTTTTATAGTTTATTATTAGATTATGTTCATGGCTGTGAGTTTAAGAAAGCAGGTTTTCTGTAGTCTGCGTTATATATGCACAAGCAATAAAATAAATGGTTATAATAAAATAAAGACTTAACATGTAATTAACAGGGCCAGAGAGAATCTGCGGACATTTTTTTGCCATTTCTTCAGAGAATTTGGTAAAAAGTGCGGATTTATTCTTAATAATTGAGTATCATAGCTAAAACTTAACAGACAAAATAAAATTATACATACATTGACTTATTCTGCAATGCAAATCCAATTGGAGCCATTTAATTGAAAGACAAAGCAAATAACGTTATCCACTGAGACAGAACATAATTCTTTACAATCTGTATTGTAACCAAATCATGAACATTTATAACACTACTATACCCCTATAATAAACGTGTAATTACTAAGTAATGCAGAAATCGGCAGATTTTTAGCCCATCATTTAGCATGCGCAGATTATGTTTGTACTTAAAAGTAACTAACAATATAACAATTAAGACTCTTTCAGTGAAATGTTGTGTGGCTCTTAAAAGAGCCGTTGTGTTGTTGTTTGTGCAGTTTATCCACCGAAGCCGTACAGAGTGCGTCCCTGTCTCTTCAGCGCGTACACCACATCCATGGCGGTGACGGTCTTCCTCTTAGCGTGCTCGGTGTAAGTGACGGCATCGCGGATCACGTTCTCCAGGAACACCTTCAACACCCCACGAGTCTCCTCGTAGATCAGACCAGAGATACGCTTCACACCGCCACGGCGAGCAAGACGGCGAATGGCGGGTTTGGTGATTCCCTGGATGTTATCACGTAGAACTTTGCGGTGACGCTTCGCGCCTCCCTTACCAAGTCCTTTTCCGCCTTTGCCTCTTCCAGACATGATGCTTACTTGCAGTATAAACCCGACGTAACAGTTAAATTAACAAACCATCTCCGAATGAGACAGTTTACATCTGCCTAGAGGACCTAACTGAAACCAGCCCTGCACCACACAGGCCACGCCCCTCGCTTAAAAAGGCCGCAGAACAATGAGGTGAAATCCAAAGCAAAGCCTGCTATGACAAACAGTTACATTTGATATTTATAAGATTAAACTGACTAAAATTGATTGTAAGTTCATATATAGCAGGCAGTGGGATATCTACAAGATCGCCACAGTAAATCTAAGGCAGTAAATCTCGCGTGTTTTCATGTTCTTTATGCAGTAACTCCGGATACTGTATCATCTTCATCAAACAACTGAATATCTTGCGTTTTAATCAACACTACTGTGAACGCTCTGCATCTGACAGCAAATCTTTTCTGCTTTTTAGATAAAACAAGAAACTAGAAAAAATATATATATTCAAATAGGTACTTCAGTTATCTTCTATTGGATCATGAAATATAGTCATGTTATGAGGAAGAGTGATACCAAAACTATTTATTGAGGGTTTCATTCCTTGCAAAATATATATAAATCCATTTTATGAACATTTAAACTAGACAACAGTAATCAATTGCATTACAATTACATGAAAAGTCAAACGATTGCTCGATGTTTTTAGAATATTTTTGCAGATAATATCATCTTCATATAATTTCAGCTCATGTTGTAGAGTTACAGAGACATTCTTATACATTGCAACGAAGGAGATACTTTAAATAAAATTATGATACAAATGTCTAAAAAATGGAAGCGAAGATATAAATGGGCCTTTACTCATCCTTAGGAAATTGGAAGACAGTGATGCCACCATGATTGTATTGTGATTTTTTATTTTTTTTTTTGCAACAGCAGTGTGAACTCTTGGTGAAACTACCTACATAACATTTTCTCGTGTTTATTTGCGACTGACTTTTTAACTAGCATCCATATTTGCCTATTACCCAAGGATTTTTTTAATTACAGAGAATGGATGTTTGTGACCCCAGAATAGGCCCTTCAGTACACGGCTGGGTAACGTTATATCAATATATACGGATTTGATCTTTTAAGTAAGAATGAGGTGGCTCTGAAAAGAGCCTTTGGGCTTTGACGTGTGTCAGCGAAACTAGTTTAAGCGCGCTCTCCGCGGATGCGGCGGGCCAGCTGGATGTCCTTGGGCATGATGGTGACCCTCTTGGCGTGGATGGCGCACAGGTTTGTGTCCTCGAACAGGCCGACCAGATAAGCCTCGCTGGACTCCTGCAGGGCCATGACGGCGGAGCTCTGGAAGCGCAGGTCAGTCTTGAAGTCCTGAGCGATTTCTCGCACCAGACGCTGGAACGGCAGCTTGCGGATCAGCAGCTCGGTGGACTTCTGGTAGCGGCGGATCTCTCTGAGAGCCACGGTACCGGGCCTGTAACGGTGAGGCTTCTTTACTCCACCGGTGGCCGGGGCACTCTTGCGAGCAGCCTTAGTGGCGAGCTGCTTCCTGGGGGCTTTGCCTCCGGTGGATTTACGGGCGGTCTGCTTGGTTCTGGCCATTGCAGCAGGTCAAGCTCTCTACTCAGATATGTCTAAGCTGATGAATACCGTTGTGTGTGACCGGCCGCTTTTAAAGCGTTTCACGGCTTTGAGTCCCTGCCGTTGAGGCGCAGCAGCTTGTGATTGGCTTGTTTATAGTTGCTGGCCAATCACAGCGCCTTTTGTGTTCGAACTAACGGAAGCAAGAGACACTTTGTTTCCCGCCCAAAATGCTTTATTGTAAGTATGACTTACAAAGGCTTAACTCTTGCTAAAAAATAAAAATAAATAAATCGATAATGAATTTTAGTAAAAGTAGAAAAGGCAAAAACGTAGTTTAACTATAGTATATAAAGCACATAATAATCAATGAATCATTTCATTTTTATCAGTAGTATAATGTACTGCAACATTTCACATTTTGGAGCATTACAGCAGATCAAGAGAGCAGTGGTATAATATAGCTTCAGTTAAATAAAAATGATTGTTCCGTTCAGTATAAATGTCTCTGCTGAAGTTGTATAAATAAGAACAATACAAATGTCACTGCAGAAGAGTAACTTCATCAGCCTCAAGCAAACAAGATTAAACATAATATAATGCTATAATTTACTTTAAAAAATGAGTTAATCATGTTTAAACTATTGGCTTATAGAGATTGAGTTAAACTTCCTGGAGCTGAACTGCATACTATTGTATGAAAGATTATCACACTGTTGCTGTAATTATAAATGCTAATTATTTTAAACGTTAGAACAGCCTGTAAAACAAGATTATGCTGTTCTCCTTGTTTACGTTTATCTAAATGTACATGAGGAAAAGCTAGATTTTAGAGAAGGCAAGATTCAGTTAAGAGCCTGGTTTGCTAAAGCGGTTTTCTGAAAACACTTTCTGAAAGACTAATAGGCAAAATACAAATACAGAGAACAATGATTTCTCTTATGATAATGTATGTGCTACATCTAATATATTGTTAAGAAATGTCAGCCCTTTCTTAGATAGAGTGGGTGGCTCTTAAAAGAGCCTTTGGGTTTTAAAGCGGATTTCTGGAGCGCTTATTTGCCTTTGGCAGCCTTCTCGGTCTTCTTGGGCAGCAGCACCGCCTGGATGTTGGGCAGCACACCTCCCTGAGCGATGGTCACTCCGCCCAGCAGTTTGTTCAGCTCCTCGTCGTTGCGCACTGCCAACTGCAGGTGACGGGGAATGATACGGGTCTTCTTGTTGTCTCGAGCGGCGTTTCCAGCCAACTCCAGGATCTCAGCAGTCAGATATTCAAGCACAGCCGCTAAATACACCGGAGCACCGGCACCGACGCGCTCAGCATAGTTGCCTTTGCGGAGCAGCCTGTGGACACGGCCAACGGGGAACTGCAGTCCAGCCCTGGAAGAGCGAGTCTTAGCCTTAGCTCTGGCTTTGCCTCCGGTTTTACCTCTGCCGCTCATAGTTGATTCAGTGTTTAAGCTCAAACTGAAAAAACTAATGAGTTATCATGCGGTCGCTCGCGGTATTTAAAGAACAGTGCCGCGTGATTATTGGTTGGAGTCTAGTAAGATTTTAAGCCAATCATTGAACGCCATTCAACAAACCACACCCTTTTGGCGGGATCGATTAGAACGTTTGTTGTGACCTTCCGGCAGAACACTCTGGCATATATTTTTGTATATTACTGTATAATTCTGTATTTGTTGTTTATAATAAAAGACTTTCCAGCAGAACACCTTTAAAAGCTAAATTAACATGTATTGTAGAGATAATTAAAAATAGGCAATGACTGCACAACAACACAAAATAATTTATGCATAGTCAAATTAAAATTAAATGTGGCAAAAACCTTAATAAAACCTCAAAGAACTCTTATACAAATAAGTGAATAACTATATAAAAAGTCTTGAGTGCAACATTTTAAGAGATTGCTGTTAAAATTTAGACTAAATTGTAATTATTTATGACATTAGCATAGTTGCGTATGTACTAATGAAGAATCACTGTGGTTGTTCTATTATATAAACTTTTAATTAATGATAGTCTTGTATTTGACAGACAAGCTACATTTTTATTCAAATTTTAGTATATATTATATTTAATTATAAAAAATATATATATTTTTATTTAATTTAATTAATGTATAATTCATAAATAAATTGTATATTATTTACTAGTAACTAGGAATCCAATATGGGGTAAATAATATAACGTTTTTTTCACTGTCTTAATGTATCAGTATAATTAAGGAGCGCTGCTCTTTCTTCAGAATGAGTGGGTGGCTCTTAAAAGAGCCGTTGAGGAACAAACAGCTGAAGATGTCATCTACTTCTTCTTGGGCGCTGCCTTCTTGGGCTTGGCCGCTTTGGGTTTAGCCGTCTTGGGCTTAGCCACCTTGGCCTTCTTGGGACTCTTGGCAGCTTTCTTAGGGGCCGCGGGCTTCTTGGCCTTCTTGGGGCTCTTAGTCGCTTTCTTGGCGGCCGCTGCGGGTTTCTTGGCCTTCTTGGGCGACTTCTTAGCGGCGGGCTTCTTGGCAGCAGCGCTCTTGGGCTTCTTGGCGGCGGCGGGTTTCTTGGCTTTAGGAGCCGCTTTCTTGGCTGGCTTCTTCTTGGGCTCGGCTTGCTGCTTGTTGAGCTTGAAGGAGCCGGAGGCGCCGGTCCCCTTGACCTGCTTCAGGACGCCTTTGGTCACCATACCCTTGATGGCGAGCTTGACGCGGGAGTTGTTCTTCTCCACGTCGTAGCCACTGGCGGCAAGAGCTTTCTTTAGGGCGGCTAGGGACATACCGCTCCTCTCCTTGGACGCGGACACTGCTTTGACGATGAGTTCGCCAACGCCTGGACCGGCCTTCTTGGCTTTAGCAGCAGACTTCTTCCTGGGCGCTTTAGCCGGCGCAGCGGCAGCTGGAGCTGGGGCGGTTTCTGCCATTTTATCGCTTTACTGACCTTTCGGGAGTTCAGAAATGAGTTGTGACTGTTCCGCGCTGCGCTCTTCAATAGCACATGAGAACCTTATAGACTCAACTTCTCCATCTCGGCGTTCAGCGCCGCCATGAGCTCCTCGAGCTTGTGTTTTCTTTTCTCACATTTCCGGCTAAATTGGAGTGGTAAAGTAGTTTGGCGCATTTTAATCACAGCGAACAACAACCACAGGTTTTGGGCTTTTAGTTGAGACTGAAGTACGCGAATAAAAAAATTTTATTTTGTCTAAATCACATCTAATTCATGGCGAGTATCAGCTTTGAGGAAAGGCCGTGTGTACATTTGATACCTTGTTAAAATGGAAAAGCTGAATAAAAACTTTTGTCATCAATTGTGTTTTGACCTAAAAGAGGAAAAGCATCTGTAGTGAAAGCCGCATCACCAAAGGCCGTGTGGTGAGCTTCACAGAGCCGCTGCTGTGGGCAGATTAAAACACACGCACTCCGTCCGAAGGATCCTTGTCCGCTTGAGACTCTGTTTAGTCACTTTTAAGATGTTTATCATATTTTACATCATTTACCACGTCACTTTTTAATTGTGTTAAATACTGATTTAATCACAATTGCACTATTTTTTTATTTTAAATTAAAGCTATATCATTCACAGCGTATGTGTGATGTACTAGGCCAAACAACCGAACAGGCTAAACGGGTGTCAGTGGGAGTAGTGGAAGGTTCGAAGAGGCTACTGTAGTTTATTGTACAATATGAAGTACAAATTTTGGAAGAGTATGTGTATATTCAAACATCAAAACTAATTCAATAACAGTAAAATACAACAATTTGGAAGTTTGATAAAGCTTCCTGATTTGAAAAGGACAGAACTGTGGCTAAATAATCACACAAATCCTCCTGCATGCGAGTATAAATATAAATGACTAAAACTGTCATTATGCTTACAGTGAGGGCATTTTTGACAACTCTGAACACACTTATTTTATTCACAGCTTGTATCAAAACAGAAACAGTCCAGAGAAAATTGTCCAGTCAAAATGACCTGACCTTTGGAAGTAAATACTCATATTGCAGCACCTTTACATTAATAAATATGTTTTATGAATGTTTTTAATAGTAAACAGTTTTGCTTTTAAAGCTTTTGGAGATCTGAGTTGTTTCATTTGTCATTCATCTGTTCTTGGGTGTTACACTTGATTGATACAGAATAATGTGCTACAACAATCTGTTGTTTGCAAAACAGCTTTTTTATAAGGTATACTCTGTTTTAAATGATGAAATAAAATAATAGATGTCTTGCCTCAAGACTGGATTACTGTTTTGGGTACAAAATACTAATTCAATGGTAAAAAAATGGAAATAACTGTTAATGCATGCTGTAATGCACACACTATTACTGCAGATGTTAAGCTTTTATATACCTGGAGCTTGTGTCAACATAACTGCAACAGCCACTCTAAGACCAAATTGTATGATCATAAAGGCACAATTCAACTTTAAGTCACTTTATTTTAAGGTAAAATTCTCACTATTAACAAAGCATTAAGGCTTTAATTCAATATTTTATTAATTTATTGCTGATTAATACTTAAGGCAGTGTTATGTTGACCTGGGGAAAAAAAACATAAGGTAGTGTTTTTGGACGGAGTCCAAAATGGCTGGTGTGTCAGATGAGGACCAGGAGTCAGACAACTAATCAGTTAAAGTAAGTTTATTGCAGATAGTTTGCAATTCCATCAGGAGAAGCCAGCACTAGGCCGTTCTGCTTACAATCCCAAATTAACAACACTCTCTAACATAACCTTGCTAACTGTGTCATAAATAGGTGTTTTAACCTAATTGGTTAAAAAATCTCCACAATGTGTTTCAGTCAGAACAATATCCAGCGATTTAGTTGACAAGCAAGCTCAGACAGGAACACACACGCACACAAGGATGTCTTGCTCTTTAGCAAGCATCTTATCAGAATGGCACAATAAGCATTTTCCTATAGGCAACTAAATAAATGAGGTCTCTTTCGTGCAATATAATTTTAAAGTATAAATTCTTTAACACAATAAAATTCACATCTAGTGACAGATGTTCAAGCATCTTAGTGACCACTTCAATCTGCGTAAAGATCTTGAAGAAAAAAAAAAAACTACCGGCATACAGAAAAAAAAACAACGACATATCAAGTTTTGGATTTACATAATAAATTAGGGAAGTAGAATTAAACCGTACTGTAAAGTACTAATAAACAACCAAAATTTTAAACGCAGGTAGAGAGCCACTAGTGTTTTTTTCTCCCATTATAGATTGAGGACACGTCCTTATGATCGAGCACGTAGACAAACCTAACATATCGGTTATGCTACATAATAAATTGTAACGTTGTCCTCTTTGACTTGACGTCATTAGCACGATAATCTATCATTACTCTTAACTATCGTTTGTGTTGATTTTGCTGTCATACGTGCTGTAATGGATCAAACATCTCTTGAAACAAAATCGCTCTATATGTGAAACAGATGTGTGGCTCTTAAAAGAGCCTTTGTGTTGGTTAAAGCCGAAATTCTACTTGGAGCTGGTGTATTTGGTGACGGCCTTGGTGCCCTCGGACACGGCGTGTTTGGCCAGCTCTCCGGGCAGCAGCAGCCGCACGGCGGTCTGGATCTCTCTGGAGGTGATGGTGGAGCGCTTGTTGTAGTGGGCGAGACGAGAAGCCTCACCGGCGATGCGCTCGAAGATGTCGTTGACGAACGAGTTCATGATGCCCATGGCCTTGGAGGAGATGCCGGTGTCAGGATGGACCTGCTTCAGCACTTTGTACACGTAGATGGCGTAGCTCTCCTTCCTGGTCCTCTTGCGCTTCTTTCCTCCTTTACCGGCGGTCTTCGTCACGGCTTTCTTGGAGCCCTTCTTGGGAGCAGCTTTAGCGGGTTCAGGCATGATAAAACTGTGTGATCGGAATCTCACGAAAGAATGGTATTTGGCAGCCGTACGGGGGATTATATTCACTACTGTATGCTAATTTACAGACGCTCTGATTGTGTGATTTCATAAGCCAAACCCACAAACTCACATTTCATTGGGAAAGTCAAGACATCGCCAATGAAAGAGGGCCAATCCTCTGGCGTTTAACTAATGCCCCGCCCATTGCTCGTCTATTACGTTGCCGCGCATTGTGTCAATCAAAGCGCTTTCCTCCCTATTGAGCTTGATATTGTTTTCGGTTTAAAACACATCCTTTAATAACACTAATTTAATACAAAGATGCAGTGAACAGTTCAAGATTTATGAAAGCACGTATAAATTATACATTAGTTTAGGTCTACTTTGAATTTTTATTTTCTATTGGTGTCAAAATTCACCAATTTAATAAGCCGTTAGCCTACAAATTATTTCATTTCAACTGGATACGAACACTATTAATAACGAAATTTCTTAAATTAAATTCCTAAAACTTTACCAACATAAACCACCTCTGTATTTATTGTACTAATATGTTTGGCAGTTTATCACGAACTCCAGTAATATGAAAAAGTATCATGTGGTGTAAGTTTAAAATGCTCGTTTGGTGCAGAAGTGGTGGCTCTGAGAAGAACCTTTGGGGTTTGACGTGTGTCGGGCAACTGTAGTTTAAGCGCGTTCTCCGCGGATGCGGCGGGCCAGCTGGATGTCCTTGGGCATGATGGTGACCCTCTTGGCGTGGATGGCGCACAGGTTTGTGTCTTCGAACAGGCCGACCAGATAAGCCTCGCTGGACTCCTGCAGGGCCATGACGGCGGAGCTCTGGAAGCGCAGGTCAGTCTTGAAGTCCTGAGCGATTTCTCGCACCAGACGCTGGAAAGGCAGCTTGCGGATCAGCAGCTCGGTGGACTTCTGGTAGCGACGGATCTCTCTTAAAGCCACGGTACCGGGCCTGTAACGGTGAGGCTTCTTCACTCCACCGGTGGCCGGGGCACTCTTGCGGGCAGCCTTAGTGGCGAGCTGCTTCCTGGGGGCTTTGCCACCGGTAGATTTACGAGCGGTTTGCTTAGTTCTGGCCATTGTAAAAGCTCTCTGTGAACAGACAGATAATATCACCGCATTTCAACTACAGCTTCTTTTAAACCCGTCAAGAACGCGCGCCCCCGTGTAGAGAGGGAACCGTGGCTTGTGATTGGATAGTGGGGGCCGTCTAAGCATTGCGGCTGGCCAATGATGACACAACTTGCCTTTTCAAACAGCAGCGACCGTTTGTGTTTCGCGCCCAAGAGAAGTCGCTTTGTTCTCTGCTGAACCGCTGAACTTGTGAAGGCTAATCATTCACGAGATGATGATTTCACATGTAAGTTATCCAGAAGCAATATTTTACAAACCATAAAGCACAGCCACACAAGAACAACTATCAAAAACAGAAACCCATCAAATAGATAGTGTTATATAACCTTGTGCTTAGTAACTTTCAAACACTGGGATGAAGTGTGTAGCATAGTTGTAACACATATCTAACACAGACCAAGCAGAAATCAATTACTCTTAGTCATAATGTATTTATTATCATCTAAAACCCCAGGCTAAGAGTCATAACTGACTTTGGTTGTACTGTATTCCACTTAAAAGGACCATGAACCCCCCTCTTTCAATTGCTGTAGTTAATCATGCAAACACAAATGAAACCTGAGATTATATTGAAACTTTGACTTCAAAATAGGGAGTTGTGGTTTCCAGAGCCATGTGTGCACTTTATATTTGATCAATTTTGAAATGTTAAGTATCATGGTAAATAAAACAATTACAATTATTTAAAACAGGCTGCGCTGTGTTGTCTTTCTCTGTTTTTTTTTTGCATGTTCTCCTTGTATGTGTCTGGGGTTTTTCTTTATTAAAACTCTGAGATATATATATATATATATATATATATATATATATATATATATATATATATATATATATATATATATATGTGTGTGTATATCGTGTATAAATAGCTGCAAGCTAATTCACTTGTTTTCACTTCCAAGAGGGGTGTGTTGCAAATAAATTGTTGGTTGTAATGTTTCAAGACATGCGTTTGTCATAAAAATAAAAAACTTTAAATGTCCATGTAGTGTGTATTTTTCTAAAAAAAAAGAAAAGTAAATAACAAAAACATTTATAATTTTGAAGGCAACTTACATTATTGTTTTATTTTTTAAAGTGAGTAAAAACATTTGATTATAGCATGAATAAATAACAGAAATGAGTTTTTTTTTTATGTGGTTTGACAAAAGCTCGTGAGCACTTAAAATTTGTAATTGAATTTTGGAAAACATTCATACGATTTTGACCAAATGATTGTTTAATCTAATTTATTTACGTCATTAGTTTCACATAACATATTTCAAAGCCCACTTTTAAATGCTTCACTGACATTTTAAGATTATCCTGCACACAATAAACTCATCTGGTGTTTCAGGGTATAGTGTTGAGTAAACACCATGATCTGAAAAGAAGACATACATATTTATAAAAAAACATCAAAATTGGCTTCTCTCTTCTTCTCAATGAAATTTTGTATCATGTATGTGTACAGTACCATTTGTAAGCACTATTTGACATTATATTATAATTTATTTTTCTGAACCCTCAATTCAATGTCCACACTACAACATGGAAATTATTTATTTCACTATTGGTACATATTATTTCTCAGTGTGGATAATAGACTGAAAAAATAAATAAAAGTATTTAGATTCATGTGAATGTACCCTAATATTCAGATTTTAAAATCCACTATACCAGAGGACACGTAATATATTTTTCCGGCATTTACTGGTTAGGAGTGTGGATCAGAATTGAAATTTCTACCCTTTTATACTTATTAATTTATATTCTGTTATACAACCCACTTTCTCTAAGAAAAGCTTTTATTTTACTATCTCATTTTACTATCTCCTACTCCAATATGATATGTTCTATACTTTCTTCTTTATTACAATTAATACAAACTCCATTTGGATGTTTTATTCTAAACAGTCCACTATACAGAGCAGTATGTCCAAACCTAAACCTTGATGTAACTGTTTCCTCTGGTCTATTTCTCCTTACATTTCTGTTTTTACCCACCATCCTCTGGATCACATAATACCATCTTCCTGTTCTTTCTTCCTCCCTTTTCTTTTTCCATCTTTTTCTCACATAATGTCGAATAATTATCTTCATTTCGTTTTTACTAGTTATTAAAAACATGTAAATTTCTGATATTTTGTCGATTTTTTGCCTCCTTTGCTCATTCATCTGCTCCTCAGTTCCCTAAAATTGCAACATGTGCTTGAACCCACAGCTAAAATAATCTCCCTCTCTTTAATTCTGTAAATTGATTGTAAAAGTTTTATCAAAATATCTGATCTACATTTTGAATGTCTTGTTTTAATCGATATTAAAGATGAGCTTGAATCAGAACAGATAATTGTATTCTTTGGTTTGTTTTCTTCTACCCATTGTAATGCTAATAAAATCGCAGTCATTTCACCTGTATTAATGTCTTCATTTTAATAACTGGAACACTAAAAGCTACTCCTACTTTATTTTCCCTATCTTTAGCTGCATCAGTATATATTTGAACATATTAATCAGAATTTCTTTTTTTATATTTATATGTTTTGTGCACTGAGGGTTTCATCTCATTGTTTTCTGTGTTTTTTTTTAAGCGAGGGGCGTGGCCTGTGTGGTGCAGAGTTGGTTTCAGCTAGGTCCTTTAGGCAGATGTAAAATTTTTCATTCGGCGCAGTATGTTATTTACACTGCTGTGTCAGTTGAAAACTGTAGAGTAATCAGCATGTCTGGAAGAGGTAAAGGAGGAAAGGGACTCGGTAAAGGAGGCGCGAAGCGTCACCGTAAAGTTCTGCGCGATAACATCCAGGGAATCACCAAACCCGCCATTCGCCGTCTGGCTCGTCGTGGTGGTGTTAAGCGTATCTCTGGTCTCATCTACGAGGAGACCCGCGGGGTGTTGAAGGTGTTCCTTGAGAACGTGATCCGCGATGCCGTCACCTACACCGAGCACGCCAAGAGGAAGACCGTCACCGCCATGGATGTGGTGTACGCGCTGAAGAGACAGGGACGCACTCTGTACGGATTCGGTGGATAAACTGCACAAACAACAACACAACGGCTCTTTTAAGAGCCACACAACATTTCACTGAAAGAGAATTAATGTTACTTGTATGTACAAACAGAATCTGCGCGTGCAGAAATCTGCAGATATTTAGGCCATCAAGTATTACTTTATAATGTCACGTATATTAAAGAGATGTAGTGTTATAAATGTTCATGATTCGTTTACAAAACAGACTAAAGTATGTTTTGTCTAAGTGGGTAACGTTATTTTCTTTGTTTACCAACTAAGTGGCTCTAATTGGATTTGCATTGCTGAAATGAAGTTTATATATATATATTATTTCATCTGTTAAGTTTTTAGCTGTGATTCTCGAATTATTCTGCATAAATCCGCACTTTTTACTAAATTCTCTGAAGAAAAGGCAAAAAAATGTTCGCAGATTCTCTCTGGCCCTGTTAATTACCTATTATGAGTCTTCTTTAAATGTATTTAAAATAATGTTCTTAACATACCGCTCAAAAGTAGCATAAGCTGATTTTTACAGTTTATTATTAGATGGCTTTCATGGTTGTGATGTTAAGAAAGCAGGTTCCCTGTAGTGTGCGATATATATGCACAAGAATGTTTGCAATAAAATAAAGGCTTTTGCTCAAAGGGCTTAATCTTTTTTCCAAAGTAATAAAGTTTTGTTTTTTAGGATTTTATACATGCCTGTTTTATAAGTAGATACTTTGCCCAATTATTACAAAAGAATAAAGCTTAGAATGAGCGGGAAACGAAACAAAGAAAAGAGAGTATTGGGGGTGTCGTTAAAATTTGAATCGTAGGGCGGAGCTGTTATTCAACCGCCTGCGATTGGCTTTAGTTCTGCAACGTGTTCTCCAATGAAATGTGAGTTTGTGGGTTTGGCTTATGAAATCACACAATCAGGGCGTCTCTAAATTAGCATACAGAAGTAAATATAAACCCCTGTATGGCTACCAAATATCATCCACTCGTGAGATTTCTAACACAAAGTCTCAGCATGCCTGAACCCGCAAAAGCTGCGCCCAAGAAGGGCTCCAAGAAAGCCGTGACGAAGACCGCCGGCAAAGGAGGAAAGAAGCGCAAGAGGACCAGGAAGGAGAGCTACGCCATCTACGTGTACAAGGTTCTGAAGCAGGTTCATCCTGACACCGGCATCTCCTCCAAGGCCATGGGCATCATGAACTCGTTCGTCAACGACATCTTCGAGCGCATCGCCGGTGAGGCTTCTCGTCTCGCCCACTACAACAAGCGCTCCACCATCACCTCCAGAGAGATCCAGACCGCCGTGCGGCTGCTGCTGCCCGGAGAGCTGGCCAAACACGCCGTGTCCGAGGGTACCAAGGCCGTCACTAAATACACTAGCTCCAAGTAGAATTTCGGCTTTAACCAACACAAAGGCTCTTTTAAGAGCCACACAACTCATTCATTTAAAGAGCTCACTGATAAAGTTAACAAGTTAATGTACAGAGTGATTAGTGAACATTACTGTTAAGCCATACACACTACAAAAGTTTTGCAAAAAGATAATACTAGCAATTACGTGCATCATTTCTAAGCTTTGTTTCCTCCATCACAGAGATAAAAATAAAAGGTTTAGCCAGAATAGTCTTTATCGAAAATATGATCATAGCAAACCTAACAGCATAACTGCATATAGTGAAGCCAAACCAATCAATTTAAGCATAAAGCCTTTAATGGGAACATGACACATGAGCAAATGAGTGCACGGTAGGAAGACAGCATAAAACTACAAAACAAAAGACATGACAACCAAACATCACTGGAAGTTTAGTGAGGAAGACGGACAGGATGGAGATCTGATCATATTCAATAACATCATGACTATCAGTGTCAACGAGAAGCAGAAAATGCTCAGCACTAACCACAGTTCATTAAGTTTACACTACACGCCTCGTTACATGCTAGAATTTACTATTTAATCAGAACTATCTAATGTAGAATAACTATAGCCCATTATGAAATCTTGGCACTGACACATGGAAGAGCGTCTACCCAGAATGCTCCAAATCTTCAACAAGGCAGCGCTCGTGTTTTAAAAGGCTTTGGTACAATTTCTCCTTCAGTCTAGGCACTGACAGAAAATCCAGAAGCTTTCTCATTTGCGCATGTGTTGTTTCTAACTTCAGAATTATTTTGTATTTTTCCACACCGATCAGAGATTTCATGTCATCAGCTATGGGCTCCACCAGCGTGACTCTGTTGATCAAGTCCGTCTCGTGAGTGACCACAAAGTCAGCACCTGGATGAACAAAATATTGTCTTATCTTTATGAAAAGCCAATGGACAGAACTTTAAGAGAAGAACAAGCATCCCCAATCTAGCTTCAGAAATCACATTTACCTTTGCTCAATCTTTCTTTCTTCTCCACTGCATCAGCCTCTGCAGGACGAAAGGCATCCAGTGAATGGTAAAAGATAGAAAAGCTTTCAATTGAAAGTGTTTCAAGCTTATAGATGTACATAATTATAAAAACAAAAACTCTGCACATTAAATATGCAGAGATTTTTTGACAGTTTGGCTGCGTTCATCATATGCAGACATGACTTGATGTTGCTTGGCCTATAAAAGCAGATTTTCACTGTGTTTTAGTAAAGCAAAATGGGTTTTTATTTAGTGCAGTTGCTAGTAGTCTGAAGCATTTTTCTCTCTTCATTCTCCAAAGTTGTTTTTTTTTTTTTTTAACCCTACCATCTAAAGGTCACCACGTAAATAACAGACTAATCTGATCAAGAAACCTTAACAAAAGATTTAAATTCACTTAAATCACCCCAGCAGGTATAAGACGTCAACATGACGTTATATTGACGTACTACCCCAACATCGTGGGGACGTTGCACTTTGTTTTGAAATGAAAATCAAGTTGATGTCGGAACCCAACATCAATGTCCAACCTAAAATCAACCAAATATCAATGTCTAAAGGATGGTTTATACTTCTGCCCAAAAAATGCAACTACACAATGCAACGACGCGTAACGCAAGCTCTGTGAATGGACGGCTTGGTAGCTCTGACGAGTGTGGGCGGGACTGAGATCCGCACTACTCCGTTGGAGCAACTGCTCACAAGTGTGGAGTCCTGTGAAGAAGCTCCGGATGAACACGTTTGTTTTTGTGTTTACCTCATAGTTAAAGTTGTTGCACGTCCGCCGCGTCCTGCCTAAAAATTAGAGTTTAAACTGCTTGTACATTAGGGATTGCTTAGAAAAAACAAAACACCAGCGAAGATACTTGACACAGAGAAACAAAAACACCTACTGCCAACTAGCGTTTCGGAAGTGTTATTGCAGAACAACAGAAACAGCGCGCAGAAGTATAAATGCACAGCTACGTGCGTTGCATGCGCCGTGGGTCACGCCAATCACTTGACACAAAAGTACAAATCAGGCTTAATGATGTTACAGCTTGACGTTACCATGATGACGTCTATTAGACGTTGGATTTTGGTTGCCATACCTGACAAATAAATGTCAGTATTTGACATCAATATGATGCTGGTTTAAAGATGTTGCCTCAACGTTGGATTTTGGTCACTTTCCAACACAACCTAAAATCAACCAAATATCAACATAATTTCATATTATTATTGGGCGTCTAACGTTGTCGTTAGACACTGGCAAGACATTGAATTTTGGTCACATGACGTGACAACCTAAATTGTACTTACTCAATCCCAGGGCTGTTTTTTTTTATCAAAGCAGATATTTAGCCACATCATGTTGGTGCTTCGTAACATCTATTTTTTACGAGGTGGGTTGTTAGCCCAACGCTTAACCCCCAACCTGGAGGACCAGGACATACACACATACAATTCAACCACCCTAACCCAATTCATCTACAGCGCATGTGTTTGGACTGTGGGGAGCACCAGGTGGAAACCCACGCCAACACGGGGAGAACATGCAAACTCACCACAGAAACGTCAACTGACCCAGCCGGAATTCGAACCAGCAACCTTCTTGCTATGGGATGAGAGCGCTACCAACTGTGCCACTGTGCCACCCCGACCTAATTCTAACCTTATACTTGGATGTTGTGTGCCTGCTGGGGCATTTCTTCCTCATTCTGATACTCATTTCCCTTTCTGTAAATTGTCTTAAACGTGTACATTGAATTCATTTAATTGTAAGAATTCAATACATTGAATTGATTTATTAATATTCGGAATTAGCACAGGTCTAAAGTAGCTTCAAAAGTGAAATATGAAAACTAAGATGTTTGCTCAAAAGAATTCCCAGCATTCCCTGCTGCTTGTTTGCTACTCCAGCTGCACTGATCATATGTAATTATTGCAAATCTCTTTCAGTGATTAAGTAAGAAGAACATTCAAATAAATTAAATTATGGGGCCAAGACGAAGTCTTTTGTTGTGAATAAGTGCTAGAGACCTACCGCTTGAACTGGGGAAATCTCTGCTTTCATCTGCAAACAAACAAACACATAAACATCAGCATTAATCACTATATAAAAACAGCCCACAGTTCAGAACCTCAACATAATGTATTATTCTTTTCAGAAATGCTTTTACATATTTCAAACACAAGACAAAACCCAAAGTGAAACCTAATTCAGCAGAGCAGTGTATCCAATTTCATCATTTTCATACTTATATAATGTTTATGTAAACAAAACATTTGCATATAAAAACTATGCAATGTTGCCATTTAAATCCTACACTAATAATCACAATTACAGCACAGTATAATTCTCACCATTTGAGCAATAAGATTCTTTGCGAGCATCTGCAAAAGCAGCAAATTGGTTAGAGATCAGATAAAATGGGCATTGTTTACTGGTCATATGCTTGGATCACTGTTAAAACAATATTGTCACATACCGACTGAAGAAGTACTCTGACTATAGTCAGCTGAAAAGGGAGAAACAGAAACATCAGAATTATTTGAAAAGCATGAATAAACTCAGTGCAATAAGGCTTTATAACAGGGCAGATGCAGCCGAAAGAGCTTCATTGTGAAAATGCGCCCAGGGATACATTTTGAGAACTCAGTAATATGTGCTTGTGGGGAAATATGGCTGCATTTAATATGTAAAACAAATGCTAAAGGGTGGTACTTTCCTACATATATATGGCTTTTGCATGTTTGCTTGGTAGCTCAACACAAACGGTGTCAGACTTGGAACATGGGACATTCTGAGATGTTTGTTTAATTGTAATATTTTCATTTCAATTTATTTTTGACTAAGAAATGATGTTAAGATATCAGCATTAACAACAGAAACACAACACACACCTGTAGCCTATCTCTGTGAACAGAGAGGAAAACAATAGTTCCATTCGTTTACAAAGGCATGTTAGCTTGTAGGTGATGAAGTGAACGTATGCAGTGACAGATCTAAACAAGTCCTAAAGCAATTGTTGGCTACCTGAAGGTTTATTTAATGTATTCATTTGGTGATGGATGGGTGATGTAATTCTCCAAAATGGGTGCTTATATTGCATTTACAAAATGCTGACAAAGATATGCAAACTCAATCAAACAATAAGTGAATGGATGAGGCTTGTTCACTTTAAATTAGGTGTAAGCAGGTCTAAATATAATTACCTTGACGTATTTTGGCATCCCATACAACTCCCTTTTGATTTTGCGACATCAGCTGAAGGTAGAAGTCTTCTTTTGGAGCATCAACGAATACTTCGAAGAAATTTGGTTTTATAGGCTTGTACTTGAGTTGTAATTGCTAATGGAGTGAAAAAGGAAAGGGTTAGAAGTGGACTGACAGATTTCACATGTGCTGTCACATCTGATGACTGGTTTACTTTTGTACTATCGATAGATATCTATTAGATCTGTCACCCAAAACTGTTTTAGCCAAGACATCTATGTGCAGTTTATCTATAAGTAAAGTTTCACATACTAATTTCGACAGGAGCACGTGATATGATTGACTGCAGCTGATTACCCATTGGCTAACTAATGATAATACAATCATTAGTCAGCCAATCAGATTAATCCAAAGTCACTGTAAGTCGCCTAGCTGGAACTACTCCCTTACCTTCGTTATCCGAAGAAACCCCCCCATCCACCCCTTCTCCTCCTTTACCACAGGGAGCTCTCGAGAACCACCTGATCTCGTACTCCCCGTACATGCTCTGTTGACCATGCTTGAGCACTGGGCTTAACTATCTCCAAGCTCAGGGTTCTCAGGGACAGCATGCCAAACCTGCTAACAGTTGTCAAACAATATCTAAATGTGAACTCTTGAAACTAATGTTGAAAGGATCATGTGCGTATGATTGCTTACAGCTGGTCTAGCATTATCTAATTCACAATTCACCAATCAGACGATTCCTAAGCCACTATATATATACCTTAAGCTCCACATCACAGCCATCTTTGTTTTGAAGAATCCCCCCTTCTACCCCTACTCCTCCTCCTTTCCTAGATGGGTGACATGGTGACCCAGTGGTTAGCACAGTTGCCTCACAGCAAGAACGTCTCTGGTTCTAATCCTTTTCCAAGCCAGCCAATGTTTCTGTGCGGAGTTCACACGTTCTCCCTGAGCTCCTTGGGTTCCTCCCACCATCTAAAAATATGCTTTATTTTTAATTTAATAAGTTAAATGACTAATCCAAATCAGCGCCATAGACATGCTCCTAGTCAGTAGTTATATTTTAGAGCAATCACTATCTGTTCATTAGCTACTACAGCAGGGGAGTTCTCCAGATTCACCTGAGCTCAAACTCCCCTCTTGCCTTGCAAACAGGAGGGAGCCCTGGGATTGAGGATGCTCTCCCGGAACAGCATGCCAAACAAGCTTTATAATCAATCATCAGCTAACTCTTGAAATGACATCTATTAGTTGTCTTTTAAACACAAAAATGCTTGTTGGGATCCAAAAAATCATACAGAAGTGCCAAATTGCAATCTGCAATCCACTTGGAGGTCACCCAATCTACTTGTGGCATTATCCCTCCAACTTGGAGGTCTCCAGGCTGCAGCGATACCTTGCATCTTCCAGATTAAATCAGTTAAACAACCCCCTTGAGACTGACAAATGTGATCTCTGGAGAAACACAATTGAAGCTAATAAACCACACTGCTTGCACAACTATAACTCACATAGGCGTATTCAATTACCTCGGGTAGGACTTCAGAATGACAAGCAGATTTCCTCATTTTCTCCAGCGTCCGCATTAAAAACCAAGTCTTCATCTGAAGCGAGCATTCCGGTCCCGGCTTTAAAATAGCCTTGCTCTCAGTCTCATTTTCTTTAACAGCCTGGAGGAAATAAATTGAAGTACTCTGGAGCACAGATAGTTGAAAAGCAGTTATCTGATCTTTGGTGTTATTATTAAATTCTTACCTCTATCATTTTTTTATCGCTTGGAATCAAGTACACGTGAAGAGTCAGGTGAGATTTGAGAGTTTGGTAGATCAGCGTTTCACAATGATAGTTCACAGAGCGTCCACTTTTCATAAGAAGACCTTTAGGGGAAAACGTGTGGTCCAGAAGTTTGGCGTGGAACCTGGTTAACTTGCATTTCTCGAATGAAACTCCACTGTCTTCAACGTGGAGAATTCTCACGCCGACTGGAGGTCCACCTGCATTTGTGGTAAATGTGCTGATGATAATCATGCAGTATTGAGTCAATTTAAACTTAAATGGGTCATTCATTGAAATAGTAAAATGGATCTTCCAGATTTTAACATAATAAGTGGTCGTCATACTATACAAACATACATTTTCAAACTTAAAATCTCCTTGTTAGCCCCCCCTCAAAACTTGCCTGCCAAAATGACACTTCTTTGACTTTGACTGTGTCTTTACATGTATGCAAAAAGTTTCAAAAGGGGACATAGCTACTGCATCCCAATTTATATACCAGGGGTGCCCAAACTTGGTCCTGGAGGGCCAGTGTCCTGCACAGCTTAGCTCCAGCTTCCTTTAACATACCTGCCTGGAAGATTCTAGTTTACATAGAAAGAGTTTGATTAGCTGGTTCAGGTGTGTTTAATTGGAGAAATTAATTGAAATTGGGCACCCCTGTCAGATATTATTCATCATAAGTAGTATTCAAAATAGAATTAGTGTCCTAAACCATAGTATGTTGAAAAGAGTATGCCAAAGGTTCCCAGGTATTCAAAGTGTAGAACCATCTATACTCTAAATGCTAATACTACCCACAATATATTGCGTGTTGGACATGAATTCAATTAGAACTCGGGTAAAAAGTGTAAACAAACTACAGACTTAGTACAGAGGCTTCGGTAAAACATTTAAATGACTGTTATAGCATTAGCATTAATTGGAAAATATTTATATCACATTTTCCGCTTTATATTATATCTGCAACAACATTGTGAACATATATAAAGAGATGTTTGGACACTAACTTCTGAATGATTTGTTATCCAAAGACCTAAAGTGATTTCTCTGCATGAAAGACTCGCAAATGGTAGATTAATCTGCTGCTAAATCTACAATTTGGTTAGAAATTAAATATGAAATAAATGTGGATGATGTGTCAAGATGATTGACAGGGCCTGTAACTAAGCAACATAACGGTTCATTAGTGAGTTTGTCCCAAAGTTTGCATACTAATCTTTTACACACTCAAAAGTATGTAGAATGTAGTATACATATGCAAATTGGGATGCAACAAGCGTCTCATTCCTTCTTAAGGAAGCATGATTACATGCATAACTGAGTTCCCATCCAAAGCAACTAAACATAAACCCATAAGCACTTGTGATTCTAGAGCATACATGTTTACTTGACAAAATAGTATAAAAGTATCACAAAATTATTGCAAAACACATTTGAGCCCTTTAAGAGTTTAATAAAAAATATGCAGTATTTTAGTAAACTTACCTAAACACAGAAAATGAGGCAGATAAACTGCGTTCAGTTCTCCAGAGATGATGGCAATGTCCATCAAAGGGCCGCATGGTGTACAATTCTCAATTGCTGGAATATCACTTAGTATTTCCCAGTCGCAAATAAAATATTCAAGCTGAACATCACACAAACATTCAACACGTAGACCAGTCCTCCTGCACTCATAACACCCTGAACCAAGATTTACTCTGCAGGTGGGGAAATGTCAAAATAGAGTCAACTTTTTTCATGTATATATGTATGTATGTATGGATGGATGGATGGATGGATGCTGTGGAAATAGCACCTGTACTTTATCTGTGCATCATCCGAGATCACAGAGGGTTCAATCAGGTCCCATTCAAATGAATCCTAAAACAATATGCCGAGATTTCAGCCATCAACAATAACAAATATATATATATATATACCCTAAAACAAAAAGAATATTAATAATATTTAATAAAAAGTCACTAAATAAATGTAACTATTTTTTACTCACCCTAATCGAAGCACATGTACGGCACTGTCTGTGTGATGCTGGATAGGTAAAAAAAAACATATCAGACAAAAGATAAACTCATGCACACCACTAATCTGAAATATGAAATCAATTTATACTAAATAAATTAAGGATTTATTTTTACATAAAACTATTTTTGCTCCCCTTCTAAGCTTCAGTGTATCGTAGACCACACAATAAACACTAATGATATGCAAGGACAATGCAGGTTTTATTTTTAAAGTGACACTATGTCATTTTTTGGTGTTATAATTATATATATATATATATATATATATATATATATATATATATATATATATATATATATATATATATATATATATATATATATATATATATATATTAATAATATCTCCACTTTATATGAAATGGCTTTAATTACTATGTACTTTTTATGTACTAACAATAATAATAAGTACAAAGAACTTATTGTGTTCATACACTATTCCACAACACTTCTGGTGCTCTTGAAGTGGTCAGTGGGTAAGGTTAGGGATAGGTCTGGGGGTATGGGTAGGTTTAGGGTTGGGTTACTGGAAGAGATGGGTCATCAGTGTATTAATACATTTAATTACAGAATTACAATATTCATTGTACTAAATGATTCATTTAAAAGTACCTACCTAGTCATTAAGGCCATTTAATATAAAGTAGGATCATCTGATGTTAAAATGAAATACAGAGTCTGATGCAATGCATGCATCTCAATTATTACTCACGTCTGATGTTGTAAGCTACGGGCCCTCTGATGTTAAAGCCCAGATAAAATGAAACAAGGCTTTGGCCACGTACGCTGGCTGGATGGTGAGGAGTTACTTCAATCTGGACTGTTCCCCTCAGAGCAAACACCTTGTGGTCTCTAACCTCCCCTTGGACTCGTTGAAGGTCCTGGATTTCAGCTTTCTCATCCCCTTTGGTCAGGGCGTCCATTTGATTTTGCTCTATGTTTGATCTATGCACAACTCTCTGCAAATGATCACCTTTTCCAAGGAAAAAGAGGGGCACCAGGTAACGTGAGCGAAGGTGCAGTCTGTAGGTCCTCTCAAAGGCTTGGTGCATATATATTACACACTCTGCAAGGTTTGGCGAGTTTGGTGTACTCTGTTGATCATCTCCAGGCCAAAACAACAAAAGGACCAACAGATAAAACTCCGGGCTTCTTCCCTTTCTTTCTTGCTGCCAGTCTCTCCACATCATGTACTGAAGCTCTCGTTTTGACTCGAGAGACTGAGATGTGGGAGACTTGTTGCACAAAATAATGTTGGCAAGAATGTAAATTTGGCTGTCATTAACATTAATTAGACTGAGAATCTCCTCTAACTCTGTCACAGCTGTGTCTTGATCTAAGAGGTTCAACAACCCTGGAAATGTATCTGCCTTTTTTATTTCAAGCATTCTCAGTTTACTTTGAGCAGCCTTTTCCTGTTGAATCACATATTTCTTGAAGCAATCTTCAACATCTCGGTAAAAGTATGGCGGTTCCTCTCTGTCAATGCTTGGCTTTGAGTACGTGAGGTAATACTGAAAAACATGAAATTTCTCTTTGATTTCTTCTTTGAGGCTGCTGAGGAAATCATTGTATCTTTTCAGCTTTTGGTCTCTAAATGAAGTGCCAAGAGACGTGATAGATGTTTTCCCTCTTAGAAAGTCTGCCCACTCTGAACTGTGATGTGTGAGGGCATCGAAGAGAATCTTGAGAACTTGGATGAAACCAAATATACCCCTGATATTAAAGGTGCTAGGAGCATTGCTGTCCCTGACATCGGATTTCTGCTCCTCTTCAGCTGTCTTTGTCTCCTCTTTGAATGCTTTAACAGCAGAAACGGCATTCTCCAAGACTCTGCGAGAATAATTCGGAGACATTTTGTCCTTGACGGTCTTCCTCAGTCTGTTTTTGTACACTTGTCCAAGTGTGTCTCTCATAAAAGAATTATTTGGATCTCTTAGAATGGCATTTTTTGCAAACCTTTCAGCCCTTGTGTAATCTGCAAATTTGATATAGTAGAACCGTGCTAGAGCCTGCGGATAGAAGGCATCTTTATGATAGAGATTAGAGGCAAACTCTAACACAGATATGCAGTTCGCAGAGTTTGTATAGAGGTCTTCCTCCATGATGTCCAGAATGAGTTTTGAAAACTTGTCATGCTCTTGATCTCCTTTCTGTCTGGTGATCAGAATGTCTTTGCAAATGTGCAGAAAGTCAGCATGCTTCTTTAACGCTTTCACTATGAAGTACAAAAAGTTGTGTGTTATTTCACCTCTTGGTATAGACAAGGTGAACAGCTTGTGGATGCATGCATCAGCAATCATAGGGTGTGCAATGCGGACACATTTGTCCTCACAGTGCTCTGCACTGTATATCACCAAAAGATCCATGAAGGGAGTCATTATGTGTGTGATTGTGTCACCTGCATGAGAACCTTGACTTGCAAAGAATTCCAAACACAATCTTTCAAGCAAGCAGGAGCCCGGAATATATGAATTCAGTAGTGCTAAAAACGAGAAGAGTTTTGTGTTTGGGGAAGCCTTGTTGTGTTTAACATAATTTTCCAGGTCCTTACCGATGACCTTTTTGACCAAATCTTTTTTGAAGTTTCCATACATAATGTTATAGCTGTGAAAGCTCTCAGAATCTGTCCCATGTGCCTCCCTGATCACTGGCTTGTGTTCCTTAAACATGATTATTTCATCCGGTAACAGCTCCATTTTTAGTTTCACACTGAAGCTTTTGGGAATTGTTGTCTTGCTTGCTACATTCAGTATGATAAGCATTGGAAAGTTATCTCCAGCAATTCTCTTGTCGAGCTCTTTCTGCAAACGGTATGCTATTCTGTTTCCTCCATCCCCTACATCCAGCAGGAGAAGCACCGTGTTTTGATGTCTCTCCCCTCCCTCTTTGGCTAATCTGATGATGTCATCTTTGATGATCATCGGGTCAGTTGTTTTTGATTTCAGTTTGGCACATCTGAGATGTTTCCTCAAGTCCCACAGCACTTGCATGGCAAGAGTCGATCCACCACTCCTTGGGTGGTGACACAGATTAATGGTTGTCACGTTCCACTGGCCTCTTCTCTGCACATTAATCTGCTGGATCAAGGATTCATAGAGGTCTCTTTTGACAAACAAGGTGCCTTGATGCTCTGAGCTGTAAAAGTCCCCCCATTGAGGTTGACCCCCTTTAAGAAACTCACTCTCCAACTCCTCAGCACACACATGATCCACTGGCACATCTTGGTACATGTTTGCCCATATTATTTCAAGGGAGGATGTGGAGAAAGCTGAATACTTTATTGGGATTTGGGAACCATTTGGCGTTGAGATCATGCAACACTCTGGGGAGTGTGTGTGAAAGTTTCAACACGTTTTTGCGACCGATCATGTAACACACTGAAATTCCCAAGCATTCTGTTTAGGCCCCTGAATCGTTCATGCTCCTTGTGCTTCGTAGTGACTTCGTTGTGCTTCTCCCTTAGTTTTATTTCTTCACCTTCAGTCAAGTTTGCTTCAAGGCTCAGTGTATCTGTTCTTGTGAAGTCCATTATGCTGCAGTTTAAAATGATCACAACTGGAATGTTTGCTTTGATGTTCTGCCCGTTGATTTCCTTGATCAGGCTGTCCTGTAGAATTCTCTTAAATGGCTGATCTTCATTCATCTTTTCCTTGATGTCCAGTAAAAGCAGCACAGTGTTCTGATCCTGATCATCTCCCGCCATAAAAAACTTGACTACTTGCTTTGAAAGCTCTGCGACATCCAGAGAAGAGTTTGTAACTCTGGCACATCTGAATTCCTTACGAAATTTCCAAAGAACCTGCATCGCCAGGGTTGACCCTCCACTCCCGGGTTGGTAAAACAAATGCATGTCGATGACACTCCATATTTTCCTTTTGTTTTTGTTGATTAACTCTACCAAACTGTTGTAGCCATTCCGTTTGACAAATGGTCGGTCTTCTTTCTCTGACCAATAAAACTGCAGCCACTGGGGTGGAGCTCCTTTCAGAAAATCAGCTTCTCTTTGTTTGGCATCATCTGCATCAATGTTCTCATTCTCGAACTTATTGGACCACACAATGTCAAGAAGCGAAAGGGTTTCTATGACTTCGGGTGAGATATGAATTGTCCCACCCTTAAATGAAGGTATAGTAAGACCTTCCATCTCTGGACCGTTTTGGTTATTTGGTGTTAATGGAGTGTATCTGTGGATTTCAAAATGCATAAGACAAAATAAAAGAGACACAAAATGTAAGCTTAACTATAAGGTGTAAAACATCTTACCTTTCCATCAACTGCAGGAGCACAACTTAAATGGCATTGCTCTGGTATCCGCTGTTTCGGCATCCTTCAGTCTCCTCAAATCTCAGCATCTCTAAAATTCCAGCAGCTCCCCGAACATTTCCTCTCAATAATCATTTGGCCCTTTTGCTGTAAATCACCATTCAGTGCACAGAACATTTGTACATCAGATTAGTTCAAATATCTTTTCCAGTCTCGCATGTGATCTTGAGTGATCTTATCACTTCTCGTGTATGTTTGTGAGCCAGACAGAGTTGTCAGTAACTTACCAACAAACTTCTGCCCACCAAAAAACTAACTAGTTGTGCTGCTTGGTTACTTTCCACGGTAAGTAATGTGTTACGTTAGTATTGAGTAACTTTTTCGCTGCTTGTCCTTACCTGGCTGAGGCTTGATCTTTTTAAGAACTTGCAGATTTCTGATAATAACAATACACTGCATAACCTTAATTTACCTTGAGTGTGGGATTCAACATGACTATGCAAATATTAATTCGGCAATTTATTTTTAAAAGCTAATTAATTCAAGTAAAAAGTAACTAAAATATTAGTACTTGATTTTTTAAAGTTATGCTTTACTAGTTCATTAATTCGTTTTCCTTCAGCTTAGTTTTCTTATTTATCAGAGGTCGCCACAGCGGAATGAATCACCAACTTATCCAGCATATGTTTTACGCAGCGGTTGCCCTTCCGGCCACAACCCGATACTGGGAAACCCCCATACAGCCTTACACACTATGGGCAATTAGGTACATCAGTTTCTCTATAGCGCATGTGTTTGGACTGGGGGAAATCGAAGCACCCGCTGGACACCCAGCGCCAACACGGGGAGAACATGTAAACTCCACGCCCGGGACTCGAACCAGCAATCTTCTTGCTGTGAGGCCACAGTGCTAACCACTGTGCCACCATGCCGCCTGCTTTACTTAGAAAAGTGATAATTTTACGTAGCTCGTGTTGCTTGTAAAGCATTACCCCCAACTCTGGTCATGCAGTGTGAGACGATAATGAATATCATGCAGTGTGAACTCGGCATTAGATACACTGCACTGCATGTGCTTCGGGAAGAGATGTCATTTTTTTGTTTACCAGCAAACATTTAAAAAATACAAACAATTCCATGAATCCTTAAGTTACATTAAAATAGTTTTACAAATGATTTTAAGTTTGACTTTCAAGTTTTATGGACTCTCCCCATAGCAGTTATGCTGTTTCTACTGTACAGACAGTGTATTTTATCCTTTACTTATGAACTCAACCCCCACAGAAAATAATCTGCACGTTTACATCTTCAAAACACTCAATTCTGTCTGATTTATGAGCCATTTTCCACACGAGGATCAAAAATAGTCCCCACAAAGTCAAAACTAACTGGTATTGCTATAATTGTGGGGACATTTGGTGACGGCAACGTGATGAAACCCAGACTTACATTTAGATGTTGTTAGTTCTGTACCATAATATCAGAAAATAGATTATGTTTTTATAAATAATTATCTTTTTTAACTTTTGGATGCAGCAGAAGATGTGGTTTAGTAATGTTAGAAAAAAGTATGCTGTCCTTAGTAAAAGTAAACGAAGTATTTGCATTAGGTAAAATATATACAAATACATTTGAATGGAAAAATGTCAAATGGTGTACAACCAGACCCGTCCAAAACCATAATCATCTGTTTTGTAATAGTTATTAACCTGAAACAATCTACCTTAAATTACTTGCAATTCTTTTTAGAGTTTTACGTGATGCCATCACTGCTAACAATCTATTCATATTGAGGAAAAATAAAAAAGGGACAATACTGAGGACATAAAGCTGAAAGAGCAGTGTTCCAATGACATTATTATGATTATTATTAGCATGTATATTTATAATAATATATTATTAGTAGTAGCAGTAGTAGTAGTATTCTGTTTACATAATGCTATAGTGACATTTGGTACTGTATGTTGATATATATATATATATATATATATATATATATATATATATATATATATATATATATATATATATATATGTATGTATGTATGTATATGTACAGTTGAAGTCAGAATTATTATCCCCCCTTTTTATTTTCCCCCCAATTTCTGTTTAGCGGAGAGCAGACTTCTTCAACACATTTCTAATCATAATAGTGTTAATAATTCATCTCTAATATCTGATTTATTTTCTCTTTGTCATGATGACAGTAAATAATATTAGACTAGATATTCTTCAAGACACTTCTATACAGCTTAAAGTGACATTTAAAGGCTTCACTAGGGTAATTAGGGTAAAGTTAGGGTAATTAGGCAAGTTATTGTTTAATGATGGTTTGTTCTGGAGACTATCGAAAAAATATAGCTTAAAGTTAATAATATTGACCTTAAAATGGTGTTTAACAAAAATTAAAAACTGCTTTTATTCTGGCTGAAATAAAACAAATAAGACTTTCTCCAGAAGAACAAATATTATCAGACATACTGTGAACATTTCCTTGCCCTGTTCAACATCATTTGGGGATTATTTAAAAAAGAAAAAAAATTCAAAGGGGGCGAATAATTCTGACTTCAGCTGTATATGCATTACTTTTTTGATTTTATTTGACTGTAATCAAAGTAAATCATGAGTGAGAATTACCCCCGCATTACCCCTGCAGCTCCGTCCATGACAAAACGCAGCGACCTGTAAAGACCTGTAAAAACAGCGACCCTTTCCAAAGCTATTTCTGCTTACCTGCAGTGAAGAGTATTCCTTCTGATTATGTCTGATGTGTATGATTTCGTTCCTCCAAGAGAAGTATTTGCAGTACACACTTTACAGTATTCCAGAACCAGTTGGTTCAGTTCCTGTGTTCAGCCCCACCCACAGGCACAATAACACCTATAAAAAAAAGGAACAAGTTCAGACAATCATATGCATGCAGAAGAATGCTCATTACATTTACTATATACAGTAAATACCTTTATATATTGTTCTTTTTTTGAGTAGCCTTTAGTCAAATGATGAGTTATATAAAATGTCATGTTTATAAATATATTCATGCAGACTGTGTATATTTTTTGTGTATATGAATATATGCATGACTATATTGAATACAACATCTGTTTTTGAATATGTGTATATTTTTATATAATGCAATTTAAATGTAAATATATTTCATTTGTATATTATGTACAGCTTGTATTTGTGTGTATTTATTATACATAAATATACACAGTGCACAGTATGTATATATTATGTAAATACAAAATATCCAGCCTCTAAAGGTAAACAAGAGTGAATTGTGTTTGTTTTAATCAGACTTGATGAATGAAGCACTTTGATTGACATTCTCCCTTTGTACATGTCATCAGAGGGGGAAAGCCCCGCCCACTAGTGCTCATCATCTCTCCATCTCATTAGCATGTCCAGCAGCCCTGAGTGAGAAGCAGCCGTCTGTCCATTGGCCATTAGAGTGTTTGAGCTGCTGAAGATGATGTCAGCATAGACTAAGAGGAGTATAGATGTGCAGTTTTAGATGAACAGCGACACGAGCGACATATAGACTGACAGGAGAATCAAGCACACACTCACACTGAAATTCTGATATAAAATTATGAAGCAATATAATAATAATAATAATAATAATAAAAATATATAACATGTGACATAGAGGCTCTGTGGTTAGCGTGGCCTTACGGCAAGAAAGTCTCTGGTTTGAGTCTCGGCTGGGTCAGTTGGTGTTTCTGTGTGGAGTTTGCATGTTCTCCCCGTGTTGGCGTGGGTTTCCTCCAGGTGCTCCGGTTTCCACCACAGTCCAAACACATGCACTATAGGGGAATTGATCAACTAAACTGGCCGTAGTGTACTGGTGTTTCCCAGTACTGGGTTGCAGCTAAGAGGGCATCCGCTGTGGAGAAACATATGCGTGTATAGTTGGTGGTTCATACAGTTGTGGCGACTAAGCTGGGACTAAGACGAAGGAAAATGAATGAATGAATGTATAACATTCTAATATGATATCATATATCATTTTAGTTGCTAAAAGCCATATTGAATTTGAGGTGAAGTTGGTGTCATATTCGCACATTCTGACTTTTATGTTCAATAAATTAGTAAAGCTCAATTTTAAAAGGCTCATACAGATTGATTACAGTGTCATAGGCAGTGGTTCTCAAAGTGAGGGTCAATGATGGGGGGGGGGGTCGCTTGAGGAAAAAAATCAAATTAATTTTATTAAACTACTAGAATTACCATATTTATCTATAATCTACAGAATAAATAAATAGTAATAGTTTAATTAAAAAACACCATGCAAATAAAAGCCATCAGCCTTTACATTGTTTGTGGTTTGATTATGTAATATTAAAGGCACAGCACATTGATTCTAATGCACCAGGTTAAGCTTTCTGATATCTTTACGACACTCATGTACATTAAACATAAATACAGGCCACAACTGAACATAGCGGATGGTCTCCGAGTGGCGTTCATCAAAATTAAATGATGGATAGACTTGCACCTATTGGTATATGTGCGACGGTGTGTAAGGTTTACATATTTATACCCACCTTAGAGGATACAAGTCACTGGCGTTGTCATTTTAAGGGGTCGCGGGCTGAAAGGTTTGAAAACCCCTGTCATAGGTTATGAGCAAGATGTGAATTTGTGACACGCTTCTTATGTTTACCACACTAATTTGAATGTTCGGTCTGAATTCGCATGTGATGACTTCAAAACAACATTAGCACTATTTAACTGACTGTCAATAATCTCTTTCGATAGTCATCGACTGCTATTATGATTTCCCTAATCAGACAAACAATTTGACAAATAAGTTGACAAACAATACATTTCTGGAATGATATTGAGAAGGTTAAAGACTCTTCATTACTACTTTAAAACTCACATTGCTTAACAAAAGTCATTCAATCATTCATTTTCCTTCGGCTTAGTCTCTTTATTTATTAGAGGTCGCCACAGCTGAATGAACCGCCAACTATACCAGCATACGTTTGAATTAATATTTAAAGCACAAAATACCATATTCCAATACATTAAATGAAATAATTGTAATGTTGGATGTTCAGCACTTCACACCGCGTGACTCACACCTGAGCATTCACAAAACATTGAGAGATAAGGATAAAAGTTTTACAAGTGTTGTGTTTTAAGATTGAACTACTTACCTTATTGGTTTCCGGAAAAAAAAGAAACAAAGCATTGGCATCATATGAAGCACAAACGCTAAAAACGAAACCTCAGCCCGTCTGTCCTGTTTCCGGAGCTCTTGACATTGATTGTGCAAAGGTTGCATAAAATCACTTGCAATTTTTTCATTGTACTTTTATTTATTTCCACATGAGGGCAGTATGAGGACCCTTTGAAGGACATTTTTTTCCAACATTATAAACTTATTTCTTCTAGTTATTTCTTTAAACATCAACTTCATTTTAAAAAATCAAGTACGTTATTAAAAACTTATTTCGTAATTGCATAATTTTTGCAGGTTTCACATGATTGTCATTATTATTTTCACATTAACTTGTAAAATAATTTCCGTATGTTGACATGTAGATTAAGAAAACAGTTGTCTAATTATTATTAATGCTAAAGTGGTGGTTCTTCATATGATATATCTTATCTAAAATAAATGTCAATAATAATAACTATAATAATATCAATAATAATAATAACAATAATAATAATAATTATAATAATAATAATAATAATAATAATAATAGTAATAATAATAATAATAATAATAATAATAATAATAATAATAATAATAATAATAATAATAATAATTATAATAATAATCCCCAGTACTG